ATTTTCTAAAAACCTAGGTTAAATGTCATTTCTTCCATGAAGCTTTCCTGGGACACTTCAGGCAGATTTAACGTCCTAAATGATTTAAGTGATAAGTGAGTAAATAGGTGACTGAACATAAGAAACGTACAGGTAGTATGCATAAATTAGACCATTAAACAGCACTGAATAGGTTACATGCCAATAGTCTTTTATATTTCCAGCTTTTGTGACAAAAATGTTTTCCTTTTAGTCTAGAGCTAAATGGAGGACCATCCATAATTCCTGTCTTTAAAAAAGGTAATTGATTTTTCTTTTATTCCTGAGATACTTTATAGCCCTGATGCTTTAAATTCTTGGTTACATTTCTGAAAATCAAAATGCAGAGTCTACCAAAACCAATTTTATAACTTTTGCTTTTGTAATTCTGTATACCTAAAATTTCTTTCCATTTCCAAGCCCAAGTTAATCATTTCTTTTAAGGCCTTCCCTGCTAATTAACACTTGATAGAAAAAAATCCTCCTCTTTGACTTTTCTCACAAGTCAACCATAGAAATAAGTCATTATTTAAACATGTTAAGTATGGTTTAAATTATGATCTTGATATTTACTTTATTGTCCCATTTCATGTACATAGTATATTGCCTATATTATATGTTCTTAGGGCAAGGACCACATTTTTTTTGATACTCTGGTACAATTTTATACATAGTTGGTAGATGATGGATGAGTGGCTTAGGCCTATAAGATCAGAGTCCAGATCTTATAATTTTATACACAATTCCTATTAGGTATGAAATACAGAAAATACTTACAGATTTCATATATATGGTTATTGTATGTTCATATGTACTTAGCAAAATAAGCTTATTTGTTAAGTCCTATATAGTCAAAAACAAAGAAAGGACCATTTACAAGTAAAGATGAGTTTGCCAAAATCACAAATAGAAAGAGAGAAATAGGAGAGCGAGAACTTAACTTATTTAGAGAATATCTGAGAGAAGCAAGGAATGTGTGGGAGGCTATAATTCTGAATATCAGGGGTAAAAGACTTTGTAGAATTTAATGTCAGAGTAATTTATACAAAAGATAAAGTCAGTCCCATTCTTCATTTTAATATTAGTTTGTAAACAACATCTGTCTACCTCCAATGGTTTGATGAAATCTCACAGATTTCTGGTAACATAAGAAAAATAACAACAATGCAGAAGACTCTAAATAATTTCATTCAATATAAAGTCTGTCATTTTGAAATAATGTCTTTTACTTTTTCTTGGTGTTAAAATATCCCTTCTTTTACAAAATAATGTTTGATGTAGTTGGCATTTGTTCTTTCATTAATGCCAACGTGGCACAATAAATGTTGGCAACCATATATTGGCTCTCACAAATTTTTGATCTCTTACATCCAAGTCTGAAAGCTACTGATCTGGTCTCCTGGTATGTTATAGTGATGTGAAGAAAACAGAACTATATAGAACTAGGACAGTATACTATACGTAGGGCTCTTGGGCTTAAGGAAGAGAGATTTAATCGTGGCTCTGTAATTTCTAGGGAAAGAGCACCGAAGAAAATTAAAGCCTAAAATTCAACCAAAAGATTCTTTGACTTTAATGCCTCCTGTAACTAACTTCATGGGACTCTTCAATGCAACAAGTAAAACCAATATTTCTCAAAATGTTTTTTCCTTCTCATCTTCAATTTCATCAGATATCATAAATGTATCAAGACCAAGAATAGTGGTTTTGAATCAACTTGGAAAAAACGTACAGAAAGCTAACTTGGAGCCAGGAGAAGGCCAATAAAAGCATTTTAAGAGGAAATGATTCCTGAGGAATTAAATTTTTTTTTGAAGATTTATTTATTTATATATACAAGAACTGTGGTACAGGCCAGAGGTGTGGAGAGTGAGAGGATTCACCATAGACAGAGCGGGGAGCAGAACAGATAGATTGACTGAAAACACTGCTGAGGGAAGCAGCGGGCAAGACAGGAAAGGTCTGCTGAGCCATGAGGGTATCTCCTTGGCCAGCCGGGGGATCAAACTTGTGCTGCATAGGCTGCGGATAGCTTCATAGTGCTGTGCTTAACCCCTTGCACCACCAGGGAGGCCCGTTTTTAATTTTTAATTGTGGTATAATACACATAACATAGCTGAGTAATCTTTTTGCATGGAAATTCTGATATTAATACTTAAAAAGCCCCTGCCTCTAACCCTTTCCCCTCCATTCTACTTTGCACCCCAAATATTCTCCCAAAATTGTGTTATCAAAGTCACCAATGATGCCCATGGCTAACGACTGAGGTTCTCTCCTATTCAGACTCTGTCCTCTACCTATCTCCAGACTTTATCTGATAGTTTTTCCTTACTATGTCTACTAGTAACAGGGCTATGTTTTCAAAATATATGTATAATTTCCTGTAAAATATATGTATAATTTCCTATTTCCTGTAATAGAATAGAATGTCTGCACCTAACCTTATTAAAATATACCAAAGGGGGTCCTCCCAGGTGGCCTAGGGGTTAAGTCTCAGCACTATCATTGTGATAGCCCACTGCGGCAGCCTGAGTTCGATCCTGGCCAGGGAGCTAACCTACATGGCTCAGCAGACCTCTCCTGTCTTGCCCGCTGCTCCCCTCAGCAGTGTATTTCAGTAAATCTGCCTGCTTTGCTCCCCACTCTGTCTCTGGTGAATCCTCCCACCTCCCCTGCACCTCTGGCCTATACTCCAGTTCTTCTACACAAAAGGAAAAATAATAATAATAAAATAGGTAAGCTATGTTAAAACAGCCTGACTCAGAGGAGCCAACATGGCCCACATTTTAACACTCTCTTTAATACCTTTAATTAACTCAAGATATTAAAGAGAAATAATACAAATGCATGAAGTTTCTAAAATCTGAAATGAGTACTTTTACATTATTTATAGCGTACACGTGGTTTGACGCTCGAGTGATACTCTTTGTAGCTTAGAAATACAAGTCTTTGCTCAAAGAGTACTGTTTTCAATGGTACAAGTTTTGCTGTATGTCTGCTTCTCCTATTTTACAGCAGCAGCTAGATTTGAAGTAAAAGCTTGCAACTGGTTTGCACTGTGTTCCTTAACCCCCACTCCATCTTTGCCAGGTATCGCCATAAAGTCCACCTGGGCTCTACTGAACAACTGTTACCCCCAACATGGTCTTAACATAACAATGATGGTAATGATTGACCACATGTACTTAAGGCTTTCTATTGATATATACTAGAGTCCAAAGTCTGTGCTCTGAACCACTGTACAATAAGAGAATTCTTAAATCTTCAGATTAAATTCTATATTATTATAATTGCTCTGAGTCACAACTTTCTATGAGATGGACTAAAATATAGGAGTTGAGGTGGGACATGGTATGTTTTAACTAGAAGGAATAAAATAAGAAATGACAGCGATAATAAATGATAATAAAATGATAAGAAACTGTGTCATTTATCTACCATTAAGGATAAAAATTCATATCAAACCAATGGTAATATTAAGCCTTTGTGGATGTTAAAATAAAAAAAGGCTTGAGAAAGCAAACTTTGAGCCCTGAAACTGGCGTTAGGTGGGTGAAACACTATTTAGAGTTTTTTCAGGGTTGAGGATCAGGGATTCTTTGCATTCAATAGCAGAGACATTTCCAGAGTATCTTGGCCTAGCCAGATCATCTTACCACTCCTAAAACAGAATTTCCTGAAAGTATAACCCAAATATAAGATAATTTTCATTAACCTTCATTTTCTTTTTATTTTAGAAAGTTATATATAAGATGAGAAATGGCCAAGACATAGAGAGTTTCAGCAATTTGCCTATCTCTTAGGGACCTGTGAGCTAACTTAGGCCCATATGCTGGCCTTCCTTCTTTTTCTCCTTCCTTCCTTTCCTATCCTTTTTTTTTTTTTTTTTTTTTTTTGTGCTTACAAGAACTGGGGTACAGGCCAGAGGTGTAGGGGGTGAGAGGACTCACCAGAGACAGAGTGGGGAACAAAACAGGCAGATGGACTAAAATACCCTGCTAAGGGGAGCAGCGGGCGACAAAGGAGAGGTCCGCTGTGCCATGTGGTAGCCAGGGATCGAACAAACTCATGCTGCAGAAGCCTCAGACAGCCTCACAGTGCTGTGCTTAACACCCTTGCACCACCAGGGAGGCCCTCCTATTCTATCCTTATGGCAAATTATATGTAATGCTTCCAGAATTTGCTCATTTTCTTTATCTGTAGTTTTCTTTCTTTATATCATGAATTCAATTCTGACATGTGTGCTCATAGTATCTAGAGCAGTTCTGATATTTGGAATTTTAAAACTCAGATTATAGATATCCTTTTTTTATAATGATTGATAGTGGGAATAAATATTGGTCAATTTTCTTCTATAGTTTATATACACTCTGGTTATCAGTCATAGGAAATAATTACACTTCTCTGTGTATTCAGATTCACAAGATATAGAATGCAAATCCAAATCTAAAATGTCAGTTCACAAACTAATAGTTTCTTTCAATGATATTTATAAGCAAATAATAAATATACATATTTGAGTAAAAATTAAAAAATTACAAACAAAAACAATATTTGTAAACAATTCTGTCATATCTATTCCTCAACTTATCAAAGAATGCAAAGTTTCATAAATACTGTTCCCTCATAAGAGTTATGTTTTCTGTTTCTAAAATGAGTGCTCATAAAGCAATACTCTATGATCACAATTCTAAAAAAATAATTACTCATGAATTTTTCCAAAAGGGGAGGATGAAAATAAGAAATCTCTTTATTCCAGACTTTTATCCTTACCTCCTAGTTTCACAATAAAGTAAGTCACTGAATAGAATGGTAACAATTTGGTCTAAAATCTCTACTGGTAAATATCTCTCAAAGGATATTCAGCAGTCAGTAGCATTATCTGGTGACCCAAAGACAGCAAATTTAGTTACTTTAATCTAGGCAGGAAAAAAGTGATAAGCTGTTATTATACAAAGATTTAGATTCTATCTAAATTTTTGGAGGAAACCATCCTCCAACAAAGCCCTTTCATCTCATTTATTTTTACCTATTAAATACGATTTCTAGAATAAAGGATGTGACGTGCATGTGGCCAGCTAAAAAGTATAATACACACTGGAGGGATTACTTGCATGTCATGTTTCTTAAAATCTCAAATGGATAACATACATGCTGTTAGAGCAAGTCAATTTTTTTCTTGACTTAGAATTCTGATTTGACATAACTCTGACCTTGCTACATTTCAAAAATTGCTCTTACCAGAAAAGATAAGCTTATATTTCACAAGGAACCAAAAAAATAGCTTCTGCTATCCTGATCCTGTACAACATGAGGCGAGAACTTAGCACAATCTTGCAAGATTTTCCTTTCCACCAGCCAACAAAAGTGCATTCTTTCTCCACAAAATATTTTATTTTGGCTTTTGATAATAAACATAGTACAGGTTTTGATAATAAACACAGTATAGATTTTATACGGTGTTATAAGACTATCCTGGTATTACAATCTCTCAGAAGAGCAGGTAGACATCAAATACAAGAAAAGAAAGTCTTCATGAATAATATAATTCTACAATCTGATTATACAAAAATAAAAAAACAACCAATGTTGAAATACTACCTTTAGGGATTTTTTGAAAAACAAAAATCAAATCTTCATTTTTAATCGTGGTACTTTTATTGCAGCTTCTCCAACTTCTTTTGATATATCTACTCCAAGAGGACATCTGAAACAGCCAGATGAATCATGTTATTCAAATATTTGCTCATAATTTGTCACTAATTCTGCAGACTATTTGCTAAGAATTGTGACAAACTATATATTTAATACATACATAGTGGGACCGCAAACCAAAATATTGGGTAAAGCATGGAGTTTCATAAAGAGATCTAAACTTGGAGATTTTTAAAACCATTTTGAGGTGTAATTGACTCATAAAAAGCTGTACATAGTTAATGTATACAATTCCATGAGTTTGGGGATGGAGATGACTTTTAAAGAAATAGTTCTATTATTCTAAAATATTGTAAATTTAAAATTAAAAAATTTTAATGTAATAGAAAAATAACAAAAGATGCCTTATAATTCTCCACAAAGTTAAAAAGGTAAAGACATTTTTCCACTAACTTAGTCAAACCTGTACCCACTCATACTTTAGAAATTTTCCAAGTTTCCATTGGCTATTCTGAGATCTCAAAAGTCAGCTTGCTTGTTTTCTTTTTTTAAAGATTTATTTATTTATACAAACACTGGGTACAGTCAGAAGCACAGGAGGGTGAGAGAATTCACCAGAGCCAGAGTGGGGAGTAGGGCAGGCAGACTAACAAGGTACACTGCTGAGGGGAGCAGCGGGTGGCAGGAGAGGTCTGCGCGCCATGTGGGACCCTCGCCGGTGGCCAGGGATCGAGCCAGCGCTGCAAAGGCTGTGGGCAGCTTCGCAACCCAGCGCTTAACCGCTGCGCCACCAGGGAGGCCCCCAGCTTGCTTGTTTTCTACCTTACTTTGCCACTGCTGACAGAAATCTTAGATTCTACCTTTTTTCTCTGTTCTTTCTCACTAATTTTAGTATAGGATTTCTGCCTATTTTTCTTTTTAAAGAGTATCGCCCACAGAAAGGCTTCAACTGGACCACAACCTAAAAACAACCTTATCTCCAGCCTCAACACTGCCATAAGAAAGCACCACTGGGATCAGTATATTATACCCAAGACTAGGCATCAACATAGGGATTCCTTATGCCACTACTTACTAAACTCAGTTAATTTAGGATTAGTCTTAATAGACTGCAACTCATGTACTATACAGTTATGGATTATGAAGCTCAGATGTTTTAAAACATCAGATGTAACAATTTACAAAACAGAATTATGTTAGATTATAAAACATGTCCTTTACTGTTTTTAATATTGCAGAATTTACTTAGATCAAAACTTGACAGCAAATTGAAAAACTGTGTTAATCCTGAGAATACAATTTAAGAGAGGAAATAAGGCTAGAAGAAAACAGCTATCTTTTGACTATTTCTCAGCTGTCTGTGGACTATTTCTCAGCTGTCTCATAATCTAGACTCACACCTGAATGCTGCTTGCACAGATGATGTTGACATCACAAAAGTCCAGGTCACAGACTTGGACCACTTGGTCCCAAAAGAGAGAACTTTTCATGCTTACCCATTGTCTGTTTCTAACCTAAAATTTGTCCAACGTTTATAATTTGATACTGTAGGAAAAATATTTTTTATATTGTACCTACCTTCTAAATTCAGGAATGGAATTTTCTTTTAAAGACTTATTTATTATGCACATAAGAGCTGGGGTACAGGCCAGAGATGCGGGGGGTGAGAGGATTCACCAGAGACAGAGTGGGGAACAGAATAGGCAGACTGACTGAAATACACTGCTGAGGGGAGCAGCAGGCAAGTCAGGAGATGTCTGCTGTGCCATGTGGGTTGCTCCCTGGCCCCCTGGGGATTGAACTCACACTGCAGAGGCTATGGATTGTCCCATAGTGTGGTGCTTAACCCTTTGAGCCACCAGGGAGGGCCACAGGAATGGAATTAGTGTAATTTTTTCCAAGTGTCACTAGAAAGTCAATGAAAACCTCATACATAAAAGCAAAATCCAAGTTTGAATTTTATAATGCATCCTGCATAAAGAGAAATAAATGGTACCACATACTTTGGTTCATAGCGAATGCCCTCTGTGTCATGTAAAATGCCCAAGCCAGCACGCAATCTTTCGACACCATTCCTTAAAAAACAACCATTAAAATAAAATAAATAGCTGACCATAAAGGAAGATTTATTATGATGAAATGGTAATTAATATTAACAGTTATGAGTAAAGCACATATAATCTGTGGCTTACCATGCAATCATAATGCCATTGTCTGTGCACAGTCTGGGAGGAGGACACAATAAAGTGCACTGTGTTGCATCTGTTATAATTTCCAGAGCTTTTCGAATATATAAGTTACTTGCAACACCTCCTGATACAACCTGAAAACATTGGGAAGACCAAAATTAATATTATATATGAATCTAAGCTAAGCTGTTAGCTGAACCTGGGGATAATATTAGCATTATATAATAATAAAATATTATATTTTGATAGGTGGGTAATGGGAAAATTATATGTATATATCATAAAAATTTGGAGAAGAAAAAAAATGAACAATTCCAAAGTATAAGCATACAATCACTACTGCCATTTTTGTACATCATCTTTGAACCTTTCTCTAATTACAATATTTCAGACCCTGCAATTTTCACTTATTTTTTTTTTATTTTACTATGTAATTCTTAAAACTATCACATTTAATATTCACGTAACATTCCACCTTGTGGTCTACCATGGTTTAATTATTTTCTTACTTTATAATTTTGAAAAGAATCAAGTTTAAGATACTGATAAACAGGAAATTTTTCAAGGAAGTATATTTAAAAGGATTTCATAAAAGGAAGATACATTTGAAGGAAATCAGCCTATTTTCTAAAAATTGATAGAAGTGACTGTATTTCATTTCTTGTTGTAAGCCCACTTTTAAATTCAGTGAGAAGATATAGCCTTAGGACTTCTTTGCTGCATAGGCTGTACTGATGTCCCATAAAGTTGCCATACCTGTACATGAAAAAGCTGTTAAGTTTTTATTCTGCATAATCTCATATTGTCAGGGCTAGCATACAGCATAAAAATATTTTTACTCTATACTCAGTTAGGCACTCAAAAGTAACATACCATAAAGTGTTAACCACTACTCTAAGATGAGATGACAAAACTTACCAGTACTGCATTACTCTGAGATAACAAGCCTCTCTGCTTGCAAAACAGAACAGCACGATGTGTTCTTTTGGCAATGTGACATGCTGTTGTGTGCTGAACTGCAGCAGCAATGTCTGCAGCTGAAGACAGTATATGTCCCTTCTCAATACCTGTAGAAGTGACCAGGTATTATTAGGCAAACTCCAAAATTACTTACTTGTCAACTTTACTAATTAGAAATATACCTTCCTCTTTTTCCTTTTGTGTTATTATCTTATCAATAACATGTTGAAGTCCAGTAAAAGAGAAATCACAGTTTTTAGCACGTTGCATAGGAGGTCTGAGATCAAAATGCAGTTTATTTCCTTGTTTAGCCAAATGTTCTATGGCCTTCCCACCACTCATGGTGGAGCACTCTGGATGTTTTATTAAAGAAAGTCTTCTTGCTACCTATTTAAAAACAACAGATTTTTTAATGAATCATAAAATTGCAATTTGAAATCAAGATACAAAAGAAATTTTACCAAAATAAGATTGAAAAAAAACCTGAATGACTAAACCATGCTATACTTTTTACAAATGTGGACTATACCCAGTAGTCACTAAATACAGACAACATTGCTTATTCGGACAACCTGGTCAATAGTGACTAATCACTGCCTTGCTATCTACTTTTACTCTTCTACTGGAGAAATAGTATAGGTTTGAAGTTAACAATGACTGCCTAATGATGAACTTGGACAAGAACTATTCTAACCATTTCAGATTGTAACAGCAATGTTTTATACATGGCAATAAGACCTATAAGATTCTAAAACAGAAAACAATCCCCTTGTCAGTACAGTCAGCAATTGTGAGGTTTAATCATAGCATTGTTTGACTTTTAGGTCCTTATGTTAATCTTTATATATCTTCTATTTCACATTTTACAGTTCTTTACACTTTACAAAGTACGCTTACATATATTAAGTTGACCTAACACATAACTGCATCTACAAATTATCTGAGCTTTTATAACCTGATGTAAACCTCTTACTTTTTTGGAACGAGTAAAATGGAATCTTTTTTAAAACTATTATGATCTGGGCCTCCCCGGTGGTGCAGTGGTTGAGCGCTGGGTTGCGAAGCTGCCCGCAGCCTCTGCGGTGCCGGTTAGATCCCTGGCTGCTCCCCGGCCACAGGAGGAGGGTCCCCCATGGCGTGCAGACCTCTCCTGCCACTTGCTGCTCCCCTCAGCAGTGTACTTCTGTCCTTCTGCCTGCTCTGCTCCCTGCTCTGGCTCTGGTGAATTCTCTCACCCTCCCACGCTTCTGACTGTACCCAGTGCTTATATAAATAAATAAATAAATCTTTTAAAAAAAAATTATGTTCTTTTTCTTACTATGAAACAGATACCTTAATTAGAATGTAGAGATTAATTCTTAAATAATTACCTTGTCAAGCATGTCACCTGGTGCTATGTCCAAAGACTTTCCAAGAAGCAGAAAATCTGAAACTCCTCTAACTAATGCCAATAGACAATGACCTCCAGAAATCAAAAGAACTAAAAAGGGAAATTCTACTTTATTGGTCAACCTAATAGTAAGGGCATGAGCCTCCATGTGATGAATGGGAATGAAGGGCTTTTTCAACTGGTTTACCAGCTGTAAGCTAAATGATAACCCCACTCCCAAGCTTAAAGCAAGTCCTGGTTTTATGGTAGTTGCAATTGCTGAGAGTTCACTTGGACAGACTTTACTGGCAGAGAGAGCTTCTTGCACTATTCGTTGAATATTTTCTCTGTGAAGCTGTTGAGCTACTGGAGGAACAATCCCACCTGTTCTGAAAGAAAGAGAGCTTTTTATGTTAAGATTGTAAAAACTGAGGGAAAAAACTCTTATGACTAAAGTCACATTTTCAAAATAATCACTATATAGCTAAAAGTGTTAATAAGTAAATTATTTTCAAATATGTATACCTTATGCTGTAACACACTAAAAGAACAGAATGCAGTGATTAAGGGTGTAGTGGCTTGAGTTTTCAAAACTGTGCACAATAAACTCCTATGGATTTGTTTGAGGATGAATGAAATCACCAAATAATCTTGAGAAGAATTCTACGAAAGCAGTGTTAAAGAAAAGAGAGGATAAAATTGGATTTTAGGATAATTAATTTCTCTGTTGATAGGAAGATTTTTAAAAAGAGGTTCCTGTGAAAGTATTTGTGCAATGGGATTACAACATAAACTGTGTAATTAATCATGGGAATGCAAAGAAAGGGACAGAGTCTTGAAAACTGTAGTAACTAATTGGACATAAAGGGAAGCGAGAACAAGATATCCAAGATGATTCAGATACTTATTTGGAATGACTAGGAGAAAAGAACTACAGAAATATGAAGATAGTTTTATGGAAGATGAGTTTAGTTTTTAAACACACTGCTCTTGAGGTTGTGGCAAGACAGTGGACAGCATACATTCCTGAAATAAAGTGCTCAAAGTTGGTAATTTTGATTTTTGGTCTACATAAGACAAGCAGTGAATGACCATTCCAAATGTCAAGTAAAGAATAAGCAGCAAATTCGTCAGCATATGACCGATATGCTGTATAAGCAGAACAATAAAATATAGGGTCTGCAAAATTCACTTCTATTCCCTCTTCCCACCAAAATCTTTAAACATTTGATATTGCTCGGCAGGAAAACAGAAAGGACTTCAGAACTGAGGTGTGGTAATAGTTACTGTTTGCACCACTTATTTGATATTCACTTTATGCTGCCTTGCACTGTTTACTTTCCTTATAGGTCTCTAAATCACGTCTCAGTGATTAGATTAAGTTTCTTAAAAACAAGAACATACATTTGAGTATTTCATCAAGCCTTATTAACACCTACCACAGTCCCTTTCACATAGTATGTTACCATCAGATGTGTATTTGGTTTCTTGACATTTTATTTCTAATATTCCCCATCATCCTATAAGGCATGTTATCCTTCCCATTTTACCAATGTGAAACTGTATCAGAGAAGATAAGAAACTTGGCTAAAGTCAGAGCTAATACTAACTGCCTAATTTGTGATTCAAATATAGTTTTGATTCCAAAATACCAGGCTTTTTCACTGTTCAGAAGTAAACTGAGGGCTGGAAGGAATATTTGATCTTTGGAATATTTTAATGTATTTTGAGTTAGCTGCCAATTTAAAAATTCTGGAGATATTACAGTAAATATTTGGATTTCCAATTTTTTGAAAATTCTGATACCCAGTAACACATGGCTTAATTATCTGCCGCTATCTTACTTAGTTTGGAGCTGAGTAGTGACCTCATCCAGATATTTTCCACCTTATATCCAGCCCACTTATTTATGTAACCTGTCTGGAGGTCCTCTACAAACATCTGAGTTAATAAATGTTACACCATTGTATGCTTTAATACGACAGTTTATCACTTATTTAGGTACCAACACAAGTTATGTATATGAACATACATAATTTCAAGCTAGAGAGAGGAGGGCTACGTACTCCTAGGACTTCAGCTGAGACCATGAAACATACAGGTGGAGAAAGAGAAAAGGCATTACTGAAGGAAAAACATGGAAAAATATGAGCATGGTTTCTTTTTGGCAACAGGATTGGCTAAGGTTGGGACCCTACTGTGGAGCACCTTAAAAGTCAGGCTGACGGGTTTAATGTTAGAAGATTTTGCATAAAAGAAATCAGTCCCTAAAATTTAATTTTTACACATAACAAATATAAAGGAATTATATCACTTTGCTTTTTCCAAAAAAAGTATAAACTACTAACATAATGTCTACTTACTTTAAGTGAACTTCTGTTTGGGAATGTATTGCTTCTCCCAATACATTTCCAGTTTCATCCACCACAGCAGCTGCTGTATCATCACAACTGGTTTCAATTCCCAATACTAGTCTATGAAGAAATTGTTTTCCAGGATGAAAATTAAAACTTCTTAAAAATTCATAAATTTTTCTTTTTGAGGGTTTGGAAAAAAGTCCTGCTGTCGTATTCAATATTAGCATATTGACTCAACAGATAATTCCTAAAAAAGAATTATAGAAACGAATGTGTCATTTGGAATTGATATTAGCCACAGATGCATTCAATTAAGCTTGGTTTATTTTTTATTGGTTTCATAAGATTATAGTAAGATTAAGTCTGTAAAAGCTCAATTTTTTTAAAGGCGATAGCAACCTGATAACAGAAATAACAGTATGAATGAAAAAAATAATACCCTGTAAGGGAAGGTAAACAAGTAAATAGATAGAAACTACTTTACTAGTACTTTATTTTCACTTTGTTCTTACATATTCATTATTCTTTACAAACATCTACAGTGCAGTAGTTGTATGAATAGTGGTCTGTAGTTTATGAGACATTAAATAAACATTAGACAACACGTGGCTTTTAAAAATTAATAAAAGCAAAATGGAATAGATTATTTACTGGAATCATCTTTCAAAATAAAATTTAATCATTTGTTTCAAAAACAAGCGTTCAAAAAGACAAGATTTAGTCCTCTAGTTCAGTTGTCATAAAGCTCATTTTATCATGCCGCGCCTAAAAAGACTACAACCTATTATCTATTTTATCCATTAATTACAATCTTTTGAATGAAATCCATTTTTGTCACAGGTTGACCAAAACATAGATCTTCCCAAACCCTTTGCCCCAAGACAACAACAGTCCATCACAAAACACCCTAGTATTTTCACATTGCCAAGTATATAATTTCATGTCCCTTGTTCTCTAGAACGACCTAGATGTTTAAGTAGGTCCTTTTCCCCTACCACACTAATGGACTAAATAGGGAAAGACGCGAATACATATCTGACGTTCTATTATTCTACCCGGGCTGCGGGTATCCAGAGATTAAAGACGAGGGATCTGTTGGCAAAGCGCAGCTCGGAAAGACACACCCCCAAGGAATTGCATTTGGAGCCACTAAATACAGGGTACAACGGCTTGCGCGAAGCACTTCTCTGTCGAATCAAGAAGCTCTCAAGTGAACCCAGCGCCAGCACTGGTCTGTCCTCCTAAGGCGCGGAGAGGAAATTGCAACCGCTCTCCCAGACGCGCAAAAACGGCGATGGGAACAGGGGTGAGCAATTTCACCCTCCGTCCTAGTGAACGAAAATTGCCAGTAAGCCTCACCTTTCCCTTGCAAAGACAGTCGACCGCCCTTTCTCGGGCACAAGAAAGTGTGAAACTGGCGCTCGGAAGTGACGTCATCAGTACGGTGCCACCCTCCCGTAGGCAACGTCTGCTGTTACTGCCCTACCAGGCGTCGCTCTGAACGCAGAAAAAAACACAATAAACAAAGACCAGAAAGGACGGGACTGGCGCTCGGAAGTGATGTCATCAACACGGCGCCGTCGTCGAGGTGCCTTGCGTCCGCTGTTACTACCCTGGAGATGAATCACATAGTAAATGTAAAGGCTAAGACTGCCTTGGCCGGAGATGCTGTGTGTGGGCCTGTTCAGTTCTCCCAGATTTGTGATTAACGAGCCCTCTACAAGATGGCGCGGCTAGTGACTGAGTACGTCTCACTACACAGCGTTCTAAACAGCACGCTGTAGCAAAGGATTTTATTGGTTGCCTTTGGCTGGACTTTGGACAGTACTAAGAAAAGGACGGGATAGATTGTCATTCCGAGGAATTATCTCCAAATCTAAAGGTTAGGACCAGAGATACCTAATGTTTTCAGAAACATAGGGTGGAAACTAAGAACGCCCCCAAGGTCTTGAACTTTGTTGCGAGATAACCTAACCGCTTCCGGTCAATCTAAATTTTTACTCCTCTTTTTCATTTGGAGTGAAAGGGGTGGGACTGAGTGTTCTGTGTGTGTGTGTGTGTTTTAAAAAGGCAGTTGTAAATAGTCTTCATACCTTAAGAGATAATACGCTATTTTCGTAATGCAGTATATGCTTTGCTTCCTATGTAGGCAAACTTCATTATTGTAAGTATTCCTTGCACTTCCTTTAGTCTCCCCCCTCTCCTGTCCAGCCCCTCCAACTTTTATTGATATGTGAACTTGTTACCATTTGTTTGAATAGATTTACCCCCAAAAGCTTTCTTCCCCGTTTGGCTTTAAAAGAGCTCCTGATAGGGTTAGGATGCCATTCATGGGCGTTCTCAACAAAATGTGGCATATTGTAACTAAACGTTGATTGGATGTTCCAACTTAATGTAAATATGCTCATTTTGTTTCTGTTATTGCCTGATTTTCCATTTGCAAACTGTAGAGGAAAATTATATCTAGAATAATTTTCACAATACTCATTCTCTAGTTATGCCTCTCCAAATAGAATTTTATTTTTAGTTAGCATATACTTACTGAGTTCTTTCCTTTGTGCTAAAAACTGTTTGGAGTAAAAGGTGAAGTCCCTTTCCAGTCCTCAAGCTAAGTCTTAAAAATAGGCCATTACAATACAGCATTATGGAAATTGAGAGAGGGCTGAGCATTGAGAGGGAAGTTGCTTGGGAAAGGCAAATTGCTTGCCACAGATGCATCTAAGGTCTGGTAAGACCTTGTGATTAATGGGTTTCAACTTCTGCTTCTTTAGAGTCTTGAAATTTGTCACACACTCAAATTGCTAAGGAACTGCTATGTAAAAGTCATTATACCAATGTATTAAGAGAAATGCAATGGAGGTAGAATAGTTACCAAATCCATACATTTCAGATACTCTTCAGAGTTTGGATTCTGCTAAAATAATTTTTCCTTTCTCCTTTTTAAATTTCTTTGCTGGTAAATATCTATTTTAATGCAGAACATTCTTTCATTAATCATAATATTGTTAATCAGGCCTCATGTTTGGAAGATACTTTGCTTTTATTTCACTTGCTAACCCATTATGCTTTGTTTTTTCTTAATGTAGTAAAATATATGTAACAATACTTAGCATTTTAACCCTTTTTAAGTATGTACAGTTCATTAGCATTAAGTACATTCATGTTGTGCAACCATCACTACTATTCATCTGTTTTTCTTCTCCCTCCAGCTGAATATTTGAATCCATTAAACACTAACTCTCAATTTCTCTTTCCCCACCCTCTGGCAAGCCACCAATCTTTGTTTTGACTAATTTGACTAGTCTAGGTATCTTACAGTATCATACAATATTTGTCCCTTAGGGACTGGCTTATTTCACTTACCATTGTATGTCTTCAAGGTTCATCTAATGTAGCACAGGTCAGATTTTCCTTCCTTTTAAAGCTGAATGTGACTTTGTGTATACCACATTCTGTTTATCCTTTCAGATCTGTTGGACAATGTGTTGCTTCTACCTTTTGACTATTATGAATCATGCTGATATGAACAAATATTTTTTCATGTCCCTACTTTCATTTATTTAGGAAATACCCGGAAGTAGCATTGCTTGATCATATGGCAATTGTTTAAATTTTTGAGGCACAGCAACACTCAAGATGATCTTATTTTTCAAATATGGGGTCTATGGGTGTTTTTGGCAAGGGAGGAAGATGATGTATCTCTGTGTTGATCTCATATAGTCCCTTTGATAAGTGCCATGGAATATGGCTTCATAGTTCATAGGAGGGACAAATGTTTCAAAGTAAGATCACTGTGTCAGATGTTCAGGAAGTAAGTGTTATGTTGTTTATTTCCTGGGAGATAACCAATAATCACCTGCTTTCTCTGTTCCTACATAAAAAAATAATAACATGAAGAAATACTGCATTCTTATGCTTGGCAATATGGTCAACATTTTTGAAAATCTGGAAGTTTTGCAGAAAAGCATCAAAATCTTGCAACTACGTAATTGGAAAGTCTGAAAATTTATATATAAAATACCATTATATTTTATATTTAAAAGAGAGTTCTTTTTATAGTGTTAATGTAATTTCTTTAATATGGTTCTTGTATTTGAGAAGAATATTTTTATTAACAGAAGTAGTTATAGTGCAAGGACAGAGTGAAAAGTTTGGCTTATTTGCTAAACATAAAATTATACAGAACTTCAGAGCTCCAGGTTGAGTCACTTCCGTAACTACCACTTGTTTATAAGGGTCAAGAAACAGAATAAATTTACATTACTATGCTGAACATAAAATCCACATGTATTTTTACTAAACTATTTTTTAATTATGAGCTATTTCATATTATCAGTGTGAAGAATTATATTGTCAACTTTGGTCCACACAACACAATTTAAGAGATGAAACCTCAGCCAATACAGTTGGAACTGTGTATTGTAACCCAAAATCCAGAAGACATTATAAAAGATTTTGTAACCCAAAATCCAGGAGACATAATAAAGGAAATATAATAGTTCATGAAAAGATTAAATTTGATCTAGACAAGCCAATAGGCAAAAATTTAACAAGCTGGGGCTTTACAGTTAATATTAGAAACATTAACCATTGGTTTAATAAATACATGGACGTTTCTTCTCATTATCTCACATTCAATACATTAGTTTTGTGAGCTGTACTTGCAAAGTATACCCCTAATCTGACCCCTTCATTATCCTCTAGTCCAAATGTCTCTTAACTGTAGTAGCTTCCCAACTATTCTTCCTGCTTTTTATTCCCTTGTAGTTTATTCTCAGTATTAAGTTTTAGAAACAAATCAGATACCTTTAATTTCCTGCATAAAACTTTCCAATGGCTTTGTCAAGCTTAGAGTAAAATCTGTTCCTTGGTCCATTAAACCCTACGTGATCTGGCCCCCGTGCCTGCTTCTCCTACCCTCATTTGCTACCATTCTCATCTTCCTTTTGTTTTTTACTCCTTTTTAGCCCTAGTGGCTATGTTGTTTTTCTCCAAACATGCCACTCTCCTTTCTGTCCTAGAGCCTTAAACTGGCATTATCCTTTTTGGGAAGTCTTTTTCCCCAAACTTTTTTCTTGCTCCTTTATATTAGTAAGATCTATTTCCAAATGTCACCTAAGTTAGGATCTTCAGGAAAAGAACTTTCTGACCAGGCTCACCTGCATTTATCTCTACATGAAATATATATTTGCTTACACATTTCTTTTTTTTTTAAAAAGATTTATTTACTTATGCATACAAGAGGTGGGGTACAAGAGGTGTGGGGGTAGTGAGAGGATTCACCAGTGACAGAGTGGGGAATAGAACAGGCAGATTGACTGAAACACACTGCTGAGGGGAGCAGCAGGTGAGTCAGGAGAGGTCTGCTGCGCCATGTGGGTAGCTCCCTGGCGGGCGAGCGAACTCATGCTGCAGTGGCTGCGGATTGCTTCATAGGTTGCATCTTAACCCCTTGTACCACCAGGGAGGCCCTGCTTATTCATTTATTTTCTGTTCTTCAACTTGAATGTACCCACCTAAAGGAAAGGATTTGGTTTGTCTTGTTTACAAACTACCTGTAATACCTAAAACAATATCTGTAACAGAGTAGGCCTTCAAATATCTGTTGAATAAATACTTTTAAAACATTTAAAGTTAAAAGTAGGGGAAATGGGCCTCCCTGGTGGCGCAGCGGTTGAGCGCTGGGTTGCGAAGCTGCCTGCAGCCTCTGCAGCGCTGGTTCGATCCCCAGCCACCAGGGAGGGTCCCACATGGCGCACAGACCTCTCCTGCCACCCGCTGCTCCCCTCAGCAGTGTACTTCATTAGTCTGCCTGTTCTGCTCTCCGCTCTGGCTTTGGTGAATTCTCTCACCCTCCCGAGCTTCTGACTGTACCCAGTGCTTGTATAAATAAATAAATCTTTAAAAAAAAAAAAAAGTAGGGGAAAATAGCAGACCTGAATCAGAGGCAAATTTCCATCTCTAAATCTGTATTAAAATATATGTGTGTGTATGTATCTATATCTATCTATCTATCTATATAAAAGCCTTTTGAGGGGCTTCCATGGTGGCACAGGGGTTAAACTCACAGCACTATCCAGCTATTGCCAGCCGATACCCTTAGCCATGGACCTCTCCCATTTCATCCACTGCTCCACTTAGCAGTGTATTTCAGTGGATCTGCCTGTTCTGCTCCCCACTCTGTCTCTGGTGAATCCCCTCACCACCACCCCCAAATCCACCCCCCACCTCTGGCATATACTCCAGTTCTTGTATGCATAAATAAATAAAAAAAATCTTTAAAAAAATAAGCCTTGGCGATAAAGCAAATGAAGAAAAGCAGAGAAAAATTTTAGCCACCTTAGTTTTACAAATTCAGTTGCTTAAAAAAAAACTTGCAAAGTGTTATTTTGATGACTGAATTTAGAGAGCTTTTACAATAAACTTAGACCAAAGAAAAATTTTATTCAAGTATAGATTACTGGTTATTTAAAAATACATGGAAAAGACAAACATACAAAGGTATTATCATACAACTGATTTCTAAATGAATGCTTTTGAAATACAAAACACTGATCAGTACCCCAAAGGTCAGTTTATTGAAACAAGTTGATTTTTAAGTTGGTCTATAACTCTTTTCTCTCAATTTTGTTTACAGACATAACTAGGCTTTTCTGTTTCATCCCATATTAGAACTTTGCTTTTTTGATATGTTTACTTCTCAAAGTAGTATACAGATTATTTCTTGCAATTATTGTCATCAATTATAAGAAGCTTCTTGAAGTAATAAGAATTCCATATGGTTGCTACTTTGGAAATGGTTACCATTTTGAGTTATCTACACTAAGACTCATGTATTGAAAATGGGCAAAATATGGAGGCCGGGAACAAGAATACTAAGAAAAAACAATGTTATCTTTTACTGCAGGTTTGCAAAAAAAGACTTCATTATTTACTTTGGTGTTATTGCTGGAAAAGCAATTTCTGCCAGACCACAGGTTGGCTATATATAGTTGCCCGTTTTATATTTCTTTTTCTATGAATGGCAGACTTTAACAATTATATTGCTCAACCAACTTTTAAAGAGATCTTTAAATTATTATACAATTTAACTGTGAAATAAATTATTTTCTTAATTGGTTTAGTTGCCATGTATCTGTAAAGGCAGAAAAACCCCACTTTGTTCCAAAATTAGAAGGCTAAGAGGCTATTTGTAGTATGCCTATTTTCTATTATCAGTCATAAAGGTAGATTTTCCTCAATTCAGTAACTTACTTAATGTAAAAATGACCTCATCTCTCAACACACAATGTTGAGCCATCAAGCCTAAAAGCACACTCATAAGGTAGGAATTGGCTTGTATAAAACAAGAGGGCATATACCCTCTTATATAACACAAGTGGATATGTATGGTAATACAAAAAAATCTATAATAAACTTGTGAAGAGATGATTTTGGTTTATATGCAAGTCTGCTTAAAGTGACCATGACTTAATGATTGGAAATTTTCTCCTCCTAACATAATATCCATTCAACTATAAGCTAAATTGGTCCTAATATCTTACAAATCTCTTACTTCCTTGGAATTATCTATTACATCCTCACTTTACAGTCATTTAACTTATAAGCTGGGCCTGCCCAGCAAGGATACATATAAAGCCTCGCTTCAGAAATATACTCGATGCATTAAATAGAGGCATCTTTTAGTAAAAATCTGCACTTCAAAACAGCATATGAAGAACTGGCAACTGGTCCTCCAATGTAAATACTTCATTTTCACATTATCATAGTGGTCAGTTTACTAACCACTTCTTCCTTACAGGAAAATCAGTAGTTTGAATATATTTTTGTTCAGTTTTAAAACATCTCAATACTTATTAATTCCAAAGATCCGAACACCATGTAGCTGTGGCATTTTGGGAATTAGCACACTCAGGAGAGAAGCTGTGTTTAGGATGAAGTGAGTTGGATCATATTTCGTATAGAAACTTGCCAGAAAATATCTGTAGAAATAAAAGTTAAGAAAAGATATAATATCTAAAAATGAAATTACTGATAATTTAAAAAATTTAAAATGACTGAATTAGAGAGCTTTTACAATAATCTTACACCAAAGAAAAATTTCATCAAAGTATAGATTACTAGTTATTTAAAAGTACACGTGAAAAGACAAACATAAAAAGAGATTATCATACATCTGATTTTTAAGTGCAATACTTTTGAAATACAAAAAGGCAACTGAAACACATACCTAAAAGCAAAATCATTTTTTTTTTTTTTTTTTTTTTAAAATAGAGGCATGTTTTTTTTATTTATTTATTTGTTTGTTTGTTTTGTTTATACATGCACTGGGTACAGTCAGAAGCGCAGGAGGGTGAGAGAATTCACCAGAGCCAGAGCAGGGAGCAGAGCAGGCAGAAGGACCGAAGTACACCGCTGAGGGGAGCAGCGGGCGGCAGGAGAGGTCTGCGCGCCATGTGGGACCCTCCTCCGGTGGCCAGGGAGCAGCCGGGGATCGAACCGGCGCCGCAGAGGCCGCGGGCAGCTTCGCAACCCAGCGCTCAACCGCTGCGCCACCTGGGAGGCCCCAGCAAAATCATTTTTGAGCACTAAAACAACAGAAAGCGTTTTAGTTTTGGGTTCTAAAATAACTATTTGTGATTTTACAATATATTTAATGGAGGCTTATATGCCTGCTTTGCATTTTTCTGTATATGTTAAATGCGTTTAATAGCACACATTTGCTACTTAGCATCCTTTACACAGGTTTTCAAGCGGGTGTAGTTTTGTATTTATGTATATGTTTCTAAAGATTAAGATCCAAAGTATCCATCTTATTCTCAGAGTTTTGTGACCTATGAAAAGGTTAAGAACCACTGTTCTAAAGAGTTGGAAAACAGTTTTAGTGCAATAGTACAACTTAGTATCTTTGAATGAAAACAAGTACCTAATTGCACTTTAATGTTCTCATTTCCATATTGTAGTTAAACAGGCCTAAAACCAGTTTAGCTGGAAGCTTGAAAGACATGGTTGTAAAATTCTAATTGTTTTGCTATAACTGAATGCATGTGTATATTCAAAGAATCAAACATCAAAGTCTTAACCATCTTTAAGACCATAAATCATTGAGTCAGAATGCCTACCTTTACCCAAGAGTACAACAGAGTGCCCACACATCACTTGGCTACTATAGCAGTATCCTAATATAGAAGACTAAAACATTGGTATCTTATTTGATCTTAACTAAGAAGTTAGTGTGTATATGGATGCTTGTCTAATGAATACTTTTAGAGTGAAAAAGGAATGTATTTTAATAATTTTACCTGTAAGTACTAGCACTAGTTTCTAATAAGTAGAGATAAATATCTTGTATAGTATGATTAAAAAAGAACATCTATTTCCAGGTATGACCAAAGGCATTACAGACAGCTCTATACATTATTTTCAGAACCATCTAGATTGAGAAATATTCTTTCCTATGTCACAAAAAAAATTTTTTTTGAAGGATAAACCATCAATTACTCAATTTATACTTTAAATTCTTCCTGCTTTCATATACTTAAGGACTGGTTTTATATTTCCTTCACTGAACAAAATAGGATGCCATTTGCATTTAGTAAGCTCATTTGATTCCCATCATCACTACAGGTTAATTCATAAACTAGTATGATAGAAATAAAAAGTCTTCTTGGAATGGCTTCTCCTTATACCTTAAGCATGTTTCTCTTAAGTCTTTAGTGAAAACTAATTGTGTATGTAGATTATATATAAATAACTTGACCCTTAAAAACCAAAACAATCCTCTAAGGGTATGTGAAACCCAGGTGGAAATCAGTGGATAGTGTTTATTTACCAAAGGATATACTGGAAAGAAACCTGTATCAGCAGCTACAAGTTTAGGGCTTAATCTGGTCTTTTGACTTTAACTACCTCCAAGATCTGATGTTCGTGCATTTTAGTCTGTTTCTTTTATCTAAAAATCTGGGATAATAGTGCATGTCTCACCTACCTGACCAAAAATGTAAAAGCACTCTGAAAACTATCAATGCTATATAGATCACTTTAATGTTATTTCTTCAGTTATGTAAGGAATTTAATCCAGTATATTTGAAATCATACCTTTGGGTCAAAAGTATATTTTTAGAAATATGGTCGTAGTACACAGGTTGTTGTTGAACTTTTTTGTGCCAGCTATTACTGAAAATTCAGTATGTATCAGGCTTTTACGATATTTTAAAGAGAACATTTTTTTTTTTTTAAATAGAGGCATTTTATTTATTTGTTTGTTTGTTTGTTTGTTTATACATACACTGGGTACAGTCAGAAGCGCGGGAGGGTGAGAGAATTCACCAGAGCCAGAGCGGGGAGCAGAGCAGGCAGAAGGACTGAAGTACACTGCTGAGGGGAGCAGCGGGCGGCAGGAGAGGTCTGCGCGCCATGTGGGACCCTCCTCAGGTGGCCGGGGAGCAGCCCGGGATTGAACCAGTGCTGCAGAGGTCGCAGGCAGCTTTGCAACCCAGTGCTCAACCGCTGCGCCACCGGGGAGGCCCTTTTATGATATTTTATAATACAGTGCTCAAAATTTTATAGATGAGGAAACTGAGGCTCTCAAGGAAATGGCCAAAAGTCAGAGCCAGAAAGTGGTAAAATTAAAATATAAATTTAGGGCTGTTTGAAAAACTATTATTCTTGTTATTATATTTATCTATGTTAAACCATACCAATCATTTGTCTTTTGACATTAATTTTATATGGAGCAACAATTAAAAATTTCCTCAAACTGTTATAAAGAAAACTACTACTTTATGATCAGTTTATTCTTTTCATTTGAAAATACCTTCTCCTAAATGTGTATCAAAAACCTGTCCTCCCTTACATCCCAGTTTAAAGATTATAAATACCTTCAAATGCCTTTCCCGCTTATCCAGACTACACTGATTCTATCATGAATATATTATACACAAGCTGTATGGCATAGAGTATTTGAATAAGATGTGAAACATACATGATTAAGACAAATGTCAAACAATATGCAAGCAACTGTACTGAGTGTGGGAATCAAAGCAATCTGTGTACTTACAAATTCTTTGCAGAAATAAAACAGTTATAACAGAAAAATAATACAAAGTGGCAAAAATGAGGGATATATAACAATATATATAAAAGTTAAAAGCAGAGCATTAACATTGAAGGCTAAGTGCTGAGGCAAATACCTCACTGAAAAGGCAGAATTTGTCTTAAAAAAGGAGCAAGACACAATTAAGAAAGGAGAAGGCATTTCAGGTAGGAGAAATAGTTTGAATAAAGGCATAGAAATATATTAACATTCAGGACATGCTAAAGAGCTTGACTGGATGGGAGTTGGATGGGAATTAAATATTTATATAAAGAAAAAATGAGGTAAGAACCATTTTATGGAAAGCCCTGAACATCGGGTAATGGGAGCAAATTATGATACTAGATACAGGTTAGGTGCTTTATCTCATTTATTACTTAAAGCATGAGATTAAGTTAGATACCATTGATTAGAATTTTACTTATAAGTCAACCAAGCTGAGTGATACAGATCTGTACTACAGTGAAAGCTTAACTTCTATTTCCTCGAAACCATACTCTCTCCCCTAAGGAGTTTGAACACCCAAATGAAGACTAGTCAATGAAATTTTTCTGAGATCATCTAGAGCCTCTCCTGTCAAGCCCGCTGCTCTCCCATATGTGGGTTAGCTCTCTGGCCAGGGATTGAACTCCAGCTACAGCAGTGATAGCCACTAGGGAGGCCCCTAATCTAGAGCCTTTAAGAAGACTAATGTAATAGTGGAATTTAGAATATGATTATGAGTTAAATTTTCTTATAAGCAGCTTGAGGATCAGAACTAGAATATATACATAATATATATTAGAATATATCAATATTTGACTTGTATATCTTAAAATGTCTAGGCATACAGTTGAGCATATAATGTCTCCATATGTATTATCTGAAATGAAAACTGGTTATTACTAGTTATTATTTTGTTAACAATTTTGCTGTGTTTTATATTCTATCTGAGGTAGCTATTTAGTGATAAAAGAGGTTTTCAACAAAATAGTGGTTTTTTTTTAAAGATATATTTATTTATTTATACAAGCACTTGGGGTATAGGCCAGAGGCACGGGAGGGTAAGAGAATCCACCAGAGACAGAGTGGGGAGCAGAACAGGCAGATTTATTGAAATACACTGCTGAGGGGAGCAGTGGGCGAGACAGGAGAGGTCTGCTGTGCCATGTGGGAATCTCCCTGGCCAGCTGGGAATCGAACCGCCCCTGCAGAGGCTGCGGACAGCTTCATAGCACTGTGCTCAACCCACTGCGCCACCAGGGAGGCCCAAAATAGTGTTTTTAATTCAAATTAATTCTAACAAAGGATAATTTTATCCAACTCTCCTTACATCTAAAAATTTCTGCCACTTACAGAATTATTGGAGAAATTGTTAAAAACTTCCGTGAAGATGTGAACTGGACTCCATAGTCCAGTTGTTCCCAATGAGTTAGGAGTCGTGCTTTACCCTGGTCAGGAGTTTCAAATGGTGTTCCTTTTACTGCATGCAAAAATACAAACATACCCTGGAAAATAAGCAAAAGGGTATAAATCAACAGCAAATGCAAAATTAGTCAATATGCATTAAGATAGTACCAGAATGAGTTTTATTTCACTTAACAGCTCAAGTTTTAAACTTTCACATTATTATGAATGGCTAGTCAGTTTCTTCTTAGTAAAGTAAAAGTTTGACCAAAAGTTACCTGTTTTCATCTCTTATTAAATTGCAAATTAATAAATAATAATATAAGGTAGTTTAATATCATTAAAGTTAGATTTTTAACACCTTTCCTATTAGGAAATAGGTTTATCGTTTTCAACTCATATATGAAAATTTTTTTCAGAGGCTTATAATAAATCTGATAATACTTTTAAAATAAAATATACATTGGTAAATAAAAACAAAGTAATAATAAAATCTCTGTATCAAGGGAAAATGGCTTTGAAAACATTTATTATTAAGAGTATCACTCAATAGTTCCTTCAAAGCAACAACGATGGTTTGATATAATACATACAACCAACTCACTTTGCTACTTAAGTCACCATTGGGAGTTCTCCAACCTAACTGCAGGTGACTTTCTTTTTCTCCTTTTCATAACAAACCTATCCTTTTAAGATGTAGAAATAAATAAATAAATAAATCACCACTGTACCTCAATAGTGTTTCTTTTGAAGTTAGTTTTTAAAAAATCAAAGCAAAAAATGTTACTAAAAATCATTCTGATCTGTGATATGCTTAAGTATCTAATAATTTTGTGACAATCAGGAAAAAGACAATGTATACTAGAATTAGTTTCCTTGTGATTACAGTGCCTATTTAGATTGACAGGTAGGACATATTATAGAATTACTGTTTGAGGCACTGGTAACAGAATAAAGTCTTAAGTATTATCATTAGTTTTCCCCACATGAAGTCATGATGTAATGTCATTTTTTTCCCACTTCAACTTTTAATAAATATGTGAGGAAACAGAAATACTGGTGACTTGAAATTTTATGTTATTGTGGTAGGTTAAGAGAGTCCTTCTTTTCAAAGCTTAGTCTACTTCATAGTTAATCCCATTAGGCAATTCAAAAGTTGTCAGGCTACAATAACATCTAAGCTACAGAGGAATGAATTCCTGTTCACTAAAATAAGACAACCCCCTCCCAAGTTTTAAAATAATTCATTCTTCTAGGAGATGATAAGGGAAAACAAAAGATATGCATAAACAACTAGAATGTAGGGCAGAAACTGCTATCAAAGGCACAATCAGAGTACTCAGGAAATGCAGAGGAGGGAAGGGTTTCTTGCTGAGGCAAAAGCCTTTCTTGTGAGCTACCCATTCTTGAAGGTTCAGTTCAAATGACAACTCCTTAGTGAAATACTTCTTGTAATAATTAACCCATCTATATGCGTGTATAAAATTTTATTGAAAAAATTTTTTTACCGTAACACAATATATTATGTTGGAGTTGTTTGCATAATATTTGTTTTCCCATTAGCCTGAAAGCCTCATGAACAAAGGCTGGTATACTGCAAGTACTAGATATTAAGCAAAGATGACATTAAGTCGAGGAATATATTCTGTAAGCACAAGGAAATTATTTTCAGATAGGCTTTAAAGGAGACTATGAAACAGAAATTGTATGTTTTCAAATTCAAAGAAGTATGGGACCCAAAAAAGATTGAGAAACCCTACTTTAGATCATTTATGAGTCAGAATGTAACAATTCTCTTGCCATTTTCTTCAAGACATGTTTTGAAGTGTTTAGAATATAACATACAGTTTATTTTATATATTCTTTTCAGTGAAAATGATGAAAATTCTCATTAATTTTAAAAGCTAGGCTAAGAATTTTCTCTAGGAGTGAACTACAGCTTTGAAAAAGAATAATTACTATAAATTTCTACCATATGGTTCAGAAAGGCAAAGACAGTAATTTTCTACCAGGGATAACAATTATGTCTGTTTTCCCATATTTTAAAGTGTTCAGTATGTATTTCACACTTTTAATTGGCTTAAGGTAGTCTAGCTTCAAAAGAAACAGATTTGGAGTCATGTAATTGCTACATCTATGGCTGGTTAGTTTGGTGTGCTCTAAGTCCGAAGTTTGCTTCCCTACATATTGTCCATTACCTATCCATTCTCCCTGGGAATATATTGTACCTGAAACTTAGCCAACCAACTTAAAAATACAGGAGATGAGTTGTAAAGCGCATTTAATACAAGTGCTGGTGGAGAAGAAAAATTGTATGACAATACAACTTGCGAACATTTAAATAGGTCTTTAGAGATCTAAAAACAAGAGATAAATGGCGAATTATAAAACTGTAATAAATACAAAAAGAATGCAGCATGAGAGTTTTAGAACTTCCCAGAATAGGTGAACCCTAAGTTGAATTTTGCTTGACAATAGGAGTAAGCTAGGTGAGCAGATAGGAGAGAGGTACATTAAAATAGTGTAAGACGTGCCTAAACAAAGTAAAAAAAGGTGAGAGCAAGATGATTTACATTATTGTTAGAGCATAATTTCATGTATGGATATGAACTGAGATATGAATGAGTTCCTTTCTTGTCTCTGCAATGTTACCAACTAGTTTTGTAGGCAACACAAGGAATTTGGGATTTTACTGTGAATGCAAGGGGAACAATTAAAGACTTAAGAGTGTGACCTGCACAGATTTAAAAAAAAATATCACATGTTGGAGTGGAGAAGAGTAGAACAGAGGAACATCAAGAACCATTTGGTGTATTGGAGTAATACACCTGAGGAAAATGAGGGTATGAATTACTGCAATGCTAATGGTGATCACTTTGACAGGCAATAAAAAGTCAGGGTTTTATCTAAATGAATTAGAATATAAAAGGAAAGAAAGTTACCCTAAAACTAAGGTAACCTTATGTCCTCATTCACATGGATGGGCCTAATTTACACCTATTTCTTAGAGTAGTTATTACTAGAGTTCCCCTTATTCTCAAAAATAGCCTCAGTTTAAAAAATGATACATTATATTATTCACTTTACATTTGATATTCAGCTATCTGGTGTGGTTTACTGAGCAGACAGTGGTGTCATTAGACTAAGAAAAAAGAGGAACAGATGGTGGTTGGTAAGGAACAGATCAAGAATAAGACGAATTCAATCAATACTTGTTTAAGGTACAAGGTAGTCTGGTTACATAAAGGTAGACGTCATTATTCTATAGGTAGAAACTAAAAATGTGGAGAGATTCAATAACTTAGGCAGATTAGAACATAAGGGATGAAGAAAACTGCCTTGGAAACAGCATTATTTAAGAGAGGAGAGGAGAAGGAAGACTGTGCAAGAGGAAATAGAAAAGGAAAGATCAGAAATAAATCTAGGAAAAAATGACCCCATGGAAGCCAAAGGAAAAGAGTTTATGAAAGGAATATGATTAGTGTCAAGTATTTCAGAGAAGTCATTATTTAAAAAGTGTCTGCCCTACCAAAGTCTATCACATAAAATGGACTAAATGGACATTTACTTATTTCTACCATCATCATCATTCTCTCCTCATCAACTTTAAATACTCCCAGAAGACAAATTATATTAACTAAAAAATCTTTTTTTCATATATTTTCTACCTTAATGTTCTAAGTTCTTTAATTCTTTAAATAAATATATAATCTGAATTCAATTAAAATTCTTCATTCTATTTTATAGACTGTAAAGACAACAAAAGTCACCATCAGGATTTTTTTTTAAACAGACAATTTCCAGGGCTGCTTAGTAAGATCAATAGAGTCAATCAAACCTCTGAAACTTAGAACTACCATATAATATAGGAGAACAATAACCAACACAAAGAAACTAAGGCATTGTAAGAGCCTGAATTATATAAGATATGATTAAGTTCAAAATTTCTGTACTGAAGCAAGAAAGTAAACAATTTAGAAAGGCTTAGCCAGGATTGAAATAAAAAAGTTCATCAAGTCTCCAATTAACAACAGCAAAATGTAATTAATTCCGAAGCATTTTGGCTAACCAATATATAATAGCAGCTTGCCTTACAATGTCTTGAAATTTTTGCTAAAATGACCTCCTATTTTCTACATTTTATAAAAACAATGGAAAAAATTTTTTTTTAATTTTAAGATTTTTTTAATTCATTTATGCATACAAGAATTGGGGGGTAGGTCAGAGGAGCAAGGGGTGTGTGTGAGAGGATTCACCAGGGATAAGAGTGGGGAGCAGAACAGGTGGATCTACTGAAATACACTGCTGAGGGGAGCAGTGTGGCAAGACAGGAGAGGTCTGCTGCACCCTGTGGGTCAGCAACATGGCCAGAAATTAGTCCCAGCGGCTGGTAATAGCTTGACAGTGCTGAGACTTAAACCCCTTTGCCACTAGGGAGGCCCGAGAAGACAAAAATCTTACTTAGAAAAAAGGTCAAATGTTTACATAAAGTGTAAGAGAAAAAAATACAATTTTATCCCAGATTAGAATTCTTCAAAAGTACATATATATGAACAAAACTGTATACTTTGAATGGGTGAATTTTATATTCTGTGAATCACACCTTGATAACGTTGTTATAAAACAAAGTCATGTGGTTTTCTTCCATGTGCTATGCTTCCTCAAAGTATAAAACTTAAACCTTTAAAAATTATCTTTAAATTACAGACAACATAAAATGTACCATCTTCACCATTTTTAAGTGCATAGTTCAGGGTATTAAGAACGTTGACATTGTTATGCAACTATCACCACAATCCATCTCCAGAGCTCTTGAAAACTAAAACTGTACCCATTAAATAATAACTTCCCATTTCTTCCTCTCCCAGTCCCTGACAACCACTTAACCTTAAATTTTTAAGTGTTTAGTATAAGGTGAAATTCTTACCAGATTATGTATAACATTTGTTAAGGTCCAAGCAACAGGAACACTGAAGAAGGGAATACTCAGTAAGACAATATGAAGCAAGCCAACTCCCAAAGCATATGTCAGCCACATACCCCGGCTGTTCATAACACGGGTATTTGGATTCACCTCACTGTGGGCAACTCCAACATTCATGTTTGCTGTACAGGAAAGCAATAAGATCAATCAATACTGGTATAACTAGAAACTTTACATAGTGCTAACTCTGACATGAGAAAATAAGTGTTACTAGGATTATTTTTTTGCCCAGTTGTTCTGAAATAGAATATACACACCTTCCAAAGTATGCTGCTTGCAGAGGCTGAGGAGTACAGTAAAGAATTCTTAACATCCGACTTTATGGTAAAACAAACAAGAATTATTTTTATGGTTCTCATTGAAAATATAAACAGTAAAATTCCTTTCCTAAAGCTTTGCTTCTAGTATGTTGATTTTCCTAAGTGAAATAATGGGCAGGAAAACCTACACTTTCTTGTATTATGAGAACACAGGAAAAACCCAGGAACTAAACTTACCAGTAGAATACGCTAATATTTAAAAAAACAAAAACAAAAACAAAAACAGAGCTGACCCAGCTAGCCTGTTCTGAGAGCCAGACTCTTACACTTAATAATGCAATGTTGGTTTCATAAAAAGTGGTCAGAGTTCAAATGACTCCTTGAATACTGAACGTGGGAAAAAATTCTGTTGACATATAAGGTGGCAATTTTAGGTGGTTTAAGATTAAGATTTGTTTCACAATACCACGATACAATTAGGTTAAAACAAAGTCGTTCTTTTGTTTATTTTAGTTCTGATCAAATCCCTAAAACTTTAGTTTTTTGTTTTTTTTTTTTTTAATTTTCCCTTTCCCTTCAAAAGAAACACCAAAGGAAGTACCGGTAACAGTTCCTAGTTATTTTAATGATGATGTCTGCTTGGATCTAAGAATCCCTTAAAAGAAAACTGTCCTGAAGAAGAGCTACCATTTGGGTAGAAACCGATCAGAGGGGCTGGGGAGGGCAGAGGTGGGGCGCTCGAGTGTATTTGGAACAGCTCTGATTTTAACATATATAAGCCTTTTCTCTTCAGGATTTGGCGAGAGGATCTTCTCATAACCCCACTTAACAAGTGTTGCTGGTATACAAAGTCTCCTTTTCCCTCCAAAAAAATCTACGGAATACGCATCAAGGTTCGCAGTGATTAAAGTTAGTTTACACTAAGATAAAGCAAAAGTCTCAAATTTACCTGTAAATATTTCTTCTGATGTAAACAGCCACCTTTTATCAAGTTATTTTTCTATGCCACACTATATTTAGAACATGCCGCATCACTCCAGACAGTCGGCCCACATTTCACGGAATGGGGGGAAAAAATTACTCGAATGAGCCTTAAAATTGACATCTGCGCTGGAAGGCAAAGCTGGTGTGGTACAACTGACCTTCCCCAGGTTCAGAACATCTTTCCAAGGAGGACTGGCAAACAACAGCGAAGAGCTTCTCGGGGTGGGCCCTCGCGGACGCCAGGAGGGCGGTAACCCGAACGCACCCCCTTGGGCAGCCACCCCAGCACCCCGAGCCCCCGGCCAATGGAAAGAAGCTCGGCACAAACCACTGCTTCCACCGCCCTCGGCGCGCCCCCCACCTGCCCCTTCCTTCTTGGAGGTGCACATCCAGTCAGTGCCAGCAGCCGACGAGGAGCACTGGGGAGCGAGTCTCGGGGGCACTTGGCCAGCACTGTCAGGCAGGCGCCGCGGACTCAGCCTGCGCCCACACTTCCCCCGCAGGCGGACCGTGGCCCGCCAGCAGATCCCTACCACCGAAGGGCGCAGCTCAGCCCCCGCGGCCGTTCGCGCCCACTCACCCGCCGCCCGGCTCCCGGCGGCCGGCACAGAGCAGGACCCGTGCGGCAGCGACCGCGTCTCCGTCAGCCCGAACGCCAGTGGGGCGCCTCCGGCCGCCCGGCTCGCGGAAGCTTTCGGTGCCGAGCGAGCCGCCGCGGGATTGGCTGAGGTCAGAGCCAATCCCACGTTCCCCCCGCGGGGCGGGACTAAGCGCGGCGCGCCGGGTGCCGCCCCACTGCGCGCGCGCGAGCTGAGGGCGAGTCGCGATTCTGCCCGCTCGGGTCTGGGCTCCCGCGGGACGCCGGCTCTTCCGCTAGTGGATGGATGGTAATTACCTGCCTCGCGCGAACGTGAAGGTAGTGTCGTGTGGCTAACGGGCATAAATTCATGCTATGTTCTCGTAGGCCCCACGGCTCACTGTCCTCTCCACGCGGCCGCGTCGGGCCACAGCTCCGCCCGCCGCCCCGGGCGCCCACCTGAGAGGCGGGAAGCGGGAGCTGCTCGCCCGCCCGCCGGCGCGCACACGTGGGGAGGCGTCTCCGAGCGCCTCGGGGCTGCCCGGCGTCTGCTTTGACCTTCCCTAAACAGATCGTGTTGGTCCTTTGTGGTAGCCCCGTCGCCCCACTTGCTGCTGCTGGGTGCAGGCTTAAGGTTATTTGTCAGGGAGAACCTTTACGCTGGACCCCCGAGAGCGGTCACTCAACCTGTTTCTGAGACTGGCGTCTTGGAATGTGTGTGTTGTAGCATCCAGCCGGTTGGGGCGAGCAAATTCTATTCATTTAACTACGATTTTTACTGGTATCGTTTGAGTTTATCCACACTCTGAAGACGCACAGCTGTATTATTTGCTGAGGAAATGTGGATACCAAAAATGAATATTACTTGAAAACAGAGGAAGAGTCAGTGATTTGGGATCACCTTTGACACCATTGAAATCTCAACTTGGCAGCTCTCAGTTTGTGACTTGTATTGCTTAAGTAACTTTAAATAACATGTTGAAATTGATGTAAGTGTTAGCTATATGTCTGTATATTTTGCATTTCTGTTAGATTATGAAAACAGTTGCGTTAGATTTAATTATGTTCTTTAAATAAATTTCTTTGTGTTCTCCCAAAAGTCTATTAGTTCTCTTCTTTCTGCTTATTTAGGTGCACCGTTGTCCTGAACTGACTTTCCTGGTCATCAGCGATCTTAAGGAGTATTTGATTTTCTTTTCGGCAAATATGGAAGACTGATTCCTTGCCTTCCCAAACCTTCTGTGCTGTGACTTGTAAGCCTGACTTAAACCCACTTTTCAAGAGGCCATTGGTATACAGACAGTATGGTGCTTGTTATGGTCTAGAGGTGACGCCAAAGATATGTGATTAATATAAAATCTTGACCCTCAAAGAACTCTGAGCCAGGAGGAATGACAACCAACAGTTAGTGTAATCTGTGATGAGTTTTGGGTTAGAAATAAGAAAAGGGTGTTATGAGAATATAGAGGAAAGAATGCCTTATCTCTCGAGTTGGAGCAGGAAGGTTGAAACAGAGAAGACAGGCATTCCCTGACCTGATACTTATAAATCTGGAAGGATGGTAAAAAGTTATGGTGGAGAGAGGAAACCTTGTGTGCTAAGGAAGAGACACTGTCACATTAAAGAGACAATTGATAGAGTTTAGCTGACTTGAGCTTTTAAGGAAAGTTTGGACTTTACTTGGTTAGCAGTTGGAAATTATAAAATTTTAAGTAAGGTAGAAATAACATGATGAAATTTAAATTATAGAGAGAAACCTATAGAAGGTTGAAACACAAGACAATATCAGTTTATTATTTAATGCATTAGTTCAGCAGAGCAATATTGAGGGATTTAACAAAGGCAGTAATAGGTATGGAGAGAAGAATACCAATTTGAGAAATATTTAGGTGGTAGGATGGATAAGTAGGACTTGGTGGCAGGATGTAGAGTAGGGAGAATTTCTATGATGACTAAGATTTCTAATTTTGCCTCTTGAGATTAGTTGGATATTCAAGAGTATGGCTTTGTAGTCAAACATGCCAGGGGTATTCAGGTATGTAGTTGTCACTTACTAGTTATGTTATCAAGCTATTCTAGTTATCTCACTTTTAAATTCTATTTATGATAGAGGTTGTTGTGAAGATGTTGTAAGAATGATAGGGTATAATGTATATAAAGTTGTTTATGTAGGCTAATTTCCTATCAAAGAAGAAATATGGTAAGAAAGATAGTCTGCGGTCAGGTTGGAACATGCTAATTTTATCCAAGTCATCTAAAGGATGATATTAAGATGTTAGAAAATAAAGCATGAAAAAAAAAAAAAAAAAAAAAAAAAAAAAAGAAAATAAAGCATGGGAGTCCAGAAAAAATTATGGTTAGCATATAGGTGAGGTAGGGAATGATACTGAGGCCAGTTAATTTAGAGTATATAAAGGGAAGGAGTTAAGACAGTGACTTGCTAGGAAAGAGAATACTCTTAAAGTTCATATTACTATGAGGAAGGTATTGAAAAAATAATTTTTGGTGATCCTTAATATTCATGAAGTGCTTGCCATTAGTGAACCACTCTGCTTGTTCTGTGTGGTTTTCAGAGATAAATAATGTATAATTCCCTGTATTCAAAAGTGATGTGATGTAAACCAAGTGATGTAAACCAAGTCCTTTAGGAATGTAGAGGGAGGAAAGAATTATTCCTGGTTGGATGATCTGAAAGGGCCTTGTTGCAAATGGTCTTAGAACTAGGTCTAGAATGATAGATAGGATTGCATTAGGGCAAAATGAAGGGAGGTGATAAATAGGTTGAGATTGGTGGCAAAGGAATATTGAAGTTTTTGACTGTGGTTACTAACAACAGAAAGAGCAACGTTAAATGGAAGGTATGGAGAGGAAGAAAGGTTCTATTTTACAAATACTTGTTTTGAGGAAACATTGACACTGATTGTTAGAACTGCCTGTCGGGAAGAGAGAGATCACTGATGGAAATAGTTATTTATTATTATGAAACTGAAATTTTGGGGTTTTAAGTAGGTGGGATCGGGGAGTGCCCACGTTGCTGGAAATGTGGAAAGAGAATTAAAAAAAAAAAAAACAAAACAAAACAGGAGGAGATGAAAGAGAGATAGATAGAAAAATCCATGAGAATTAGAGAATGTCATCAGTGACACATTCTTCAGGGGTGTTAATGAACATGAGTCCTGAGAAAAGGATTTAGTTATCTAATAGCATAAACTGGAAAACAGAATCCTGACAGTGGTTGTGTTATAAGCCATTTTGCAAAGAGTTTTAGAAGTAAGTTGTTTCAAGGGAATTGATGACTGCCAAAATAGGTTACTTAGTCAAGTTTGGCTTCATAAAAAAAAGAGGATGCTCATTTGGAAAATAGAATTGAGGGAAGGATTCTTGTTTCTTTTTGTTTTCAAGACGAAAGTGACCGTCAGGCAGGATCTAAGGAACTAGGTAAAAGTGTTAGGTTAGGAAAAGAGAGACATTGACCTGAGTCTGAGGGAAGAGGAATGTGGATAGAGGTGTAGATATTTTTAGAAACCAGAGGACACAAAAAGTAAGATGGAGGAAGTAAGGTATATGTGAAGATAGAGTTCACATTATGGACTGCTTTGATCTCCTTAAACTGGAAGAATGAGGAACCCTAGTATAAAATTAGGGATTTGGAAAACAGGGAAAAGAGAGAAGAGATTTTGGAAAATGGAGTACAGAGAATGAAACAAAGTTGATGAGATTAAGAAGATTGTCCATAGAGTGAAGGCTGAAGTGAGTCTTGCTTGGTCATTGTTTTTCTTAGATCATTAGGATTCTCAAGGTAGAGATAGAAGACTTACTGAACGAAGCTGAACCTGATGCTAGATCACAGGTTAGCCCCTTTGGTGGTAGGGATTAGAAGTTTGTGTAGAGAGCAGGGTGGGGAGTCTTACTCATTTAGACTTGGAAGGAACTCAGCTTAGTCCAAATATTGAGAATCTTCTAGCATCTGTATGTCAAACACTGTAGTAAGTTCTATACATTGCTCTATTTACTTCTTATACAGCCAAATATCATTATTAAGCCCATTTTATAGATTAGATGATTGCATTTTAGAATTTAATTTTAATTCCCTCAACAACATAAAAGTGTAAGAACTAGGATAGAACCAAAAGCAATATGATTTCAGAGCCTGCTCTTATAAATAATACTATGTCCAGTGATGTCCAGTAGTACTATAGTGTAAGCCACATATGTAACTTTAAATTTTGTGGTAGTTATCTTTAAAAAGGTGGGGGGAAAAGTCACAAATGTTTGATAATTTATTATGTTCAAAATATTTTATTCAGTAATCAATATAAAAAATTAGAATTTTATACTGAGTTTGAAATCCAGAGTATCTTAGCACATTTCAGTTTAAAGTATCCACATTTCAAGTTCTCAGTAATCACATGAGACCAGTGGCTACCGTATTGGACAATATAACTCTGTCTCCTTAGACCTAAGGCCAAACCGAAGCTTAGGGAATGCCCAGAGGGCGCCTTTTGCTTGTGACCACACTGATTTGTGTGAACGCTATGACAATAGAGTGGCCTAACTTTCCACTGTTTTCCTGACTTACTGGGAAAGTCTCCTGTCGTTAGGAGCTACAGCAAACCATTGAGAGGTAGTTGTTCACAGCTACTCCCCTTGAAACTCCAAAAACTAAAGCAAATACAGAAATGAACCAGATGGTAATTATTAGAATTAAATAAGAATTCTCAACTTTTCTTTACATAATCTGTGTTCATAGTATTATACATTTTGTACATCCTTATCATTTACAGAGCATCTTATACATGCTTTCTTATTTGAATCTCATAAGAGATCAGTGAAACATTATATATATTTATATAGGCAATGAGTTGATTTTAAATAGGGATTTAAGTGATTTGCTTTCGTTTTGGATACTAAACTTGAACCCAAAACTTTTTTTTGTTTGTTTGTTTGGTTGGTTGGTTTTTGTTCTGGCTTATTTTTCTGTTTTGCCCTGTGCAAGGGAAAAATACAGTGAATTGTCACCAGATAACACCACTCAGAACTCAATATGTTGGTCTCTTATCTGAAATGCAGCCCTTAAAATCCTACATAATTGTTTTAGTAGCTATATTCCAGTTCTTGCTCTTAATTTACATGACTGTGATTGTCTTATGTTGCCCAAGAAAAAATCTAAATGGACACTTTTGTTTTGGGCATTGTTGTTATATATAGATTCCATAGAATTGATTAATCATGTAAACATGTTGCTAGTCATAGTAAATTGAGGAATTACTTTGGTTCCACCACCACTGTTCTTATTTTGGCAGAGATAACCTTGACTCTTTAGAAGAACTGCATGTTATCAAGTTAGTGGGTTTTATTTTCCTGAAATTAGGCATTAAGACAGGTGAATACCCCTCCACTTGCATATTTTATATATGGGATTTGTATGAGTTTTTTGTTTTCTTTTTTTTTTTAAAGTTTGAAACACAGGATTTCAAAGTTAAAGCATTTAGAAGCAGAGATTTCAGATGTATAAGTTGGATCACATATAAAGGACCTTGAATGCCAGAAACTTGAGTATCTTATTTTGTGTTTGGGGACCACATGATTAGGGTGTTTAAGGCAGAATAATATAGAGGATAAATAGCTATCTGATATGTCTGAGGCCTGACTAGTTCAAATTGACAGTAATTCTAGGGGCTGAATGTCCTAACTCCAAAAGTGCTCACTAACAGAAAAAGACATTGTAACTCATCAAAACTAATGGATGACTAATGGTATTTAAGTGAGATTGCTATTAAGCCACATGAATACTGACAGCATCAACATCCCAAGGTGAGACAGTACCACCCAGTCATTCCTAGCCAGGAAGATAATATAGTACACTCATAGCACAGTTACTCTTACTCTTCAGTTTTTACCATAGTGTAATTACCAACTAACTTCTTTATGCCTTAGTTTTATAAAATGGAGGTGATAATGGTATCTGTTTCAAAGAGTATTTGTAAGAAATAAATCACCTAGTACTATATGCTTACAATAGGATTTGACATACAGCGAGACTCAATAAATATGAGCTGCCATTGTCGGTGCTGTCAGTTCTCTTAGGAATATTTAACAATTATTATCATTTTTACAGTTTACATTTTTATCTTCTAGCTATTTTGTTAAAAGCTACAATGAAACAATTGCCTGCAGCAACAGTTCGACTTCTTTCAAGTTCTCAGATAATCACTTCAGTGGTCAGTGTTGTAAAAGAACTTATTGAAAACTCCTTAGATGCTGGTGCCACTAGCATTGAGGTTAAACTGGTGAGTGTCTTTGAGAAACTGAGTAACTACTCAAATAAAGCAAATAAGGGCCAATCAGATTTTTTTTCTTACATTAACTTTCTTTCTGTGTACCAGTAAATTGCTCTTAGGACACTAGACTCTTTGTCTTTAAGAGTAAATTCTAAAACTTAAATTTTAAATAAAATCAACATTTTAGTAACTCTAGAGGAAATTGTAAAAGAAAATCTATTCTTTAGGATGCTTGCCTAAAACATGAATTCAGTATGTCTGTATTTCTATTATTTATTCTTGGTTCATATTTACTTGTTTTATGTATTCTCATTTGTATGTTGTTTTTCTACCTAATGTTATTTCAAAATGGTTTACCTTGTTGCTTCATAGTTTTCATGTTTTCAAATGTAAGTACTACATATTAAATTATTTGAGATAATATGACTTATGGTACTCATTTGGATTTGTTAGGGTTAGTTTGCATATTTACCTCCCCTATTATAAATTACCAACTCGTAGAGGAAAGGTCTATAACTTAGTCATTTTTTATGTCCTCCATAGCTGGCCACATGATGATGAACACATTTGTTTTGAGTGATTGTGGCAGTGCATTTCTCCTAATTATCAGATACTTTCATTATCTGGTATTATGACACTAGAAATAATACTGATACAAATATCTTTGTAGGAAAGATATCTACTCTTTTTATGTGTATTCTTTAGTAGTGGAGTTGACATTGGAATCTGGTCTTTCTGACCCTAAAACCCTTTTAAGATCTTTTTTCTGTGCCACTGGTTCTCACAGCATCTGGGTGCATCAGAATAATTTTAAGAGTTTGTTAAAACAATTACTTGGCAGAATTTACATTTAGCACGTTTCTAGTTGGTACTGAACTACTGTTCTATATAATATCAAACCTTCATTTGTTTTCAAATAGTACACTATAAGCTTTATAAACATAAAAATGACTAAGTTTATAAACGCAAGGAAAAACTTTTTTCTTAGACATTTCATATTGTCAGTTCAGTTTTCTTGGATTGACAATAATTAATAGGATTAAATAATTATATCGACAGATTTCACTCAATCTTCAGTAGGCAAACATATTATTCTTGAAGTTCTCTAGAAGAAAGAAAAAGTTTTTAAAAATAGTGTTACAAGGTTTGCAGAAGCCCTCTTATGAAAGAAAAGCAAACATTTTTATCTGGCTGTGTATTTTAGTTTCATGACATTTATCAGTTTCTGTTTTGTAAAGTTTTAAAACACTGTGTTGCTCTATGTAATGTATAGACCTATTTTTATTATGATGTCATACAATAGTAACTGCCCTGACCAGCAGTGTTTTCACAATCAGATAATTAAATATGTTGTTGTTAAACATTTACATAGATATTTATGTGGTTATTTTTTTGTTTTTGTTTTTGTTTTTGCTCAGATGCCTATAGTTCTTACTTATATTGAAAGATTTGCATTTCTATAATTAATGATTTTTTTTACAATATTGAGCAGGCCAAGCTTTTCCCAGAATGTTAATTTTTTGTTTGAGAGAAAGGTGATGACCTAAATCCTAGATGCTTAACACTATACCTTGTATCTCAGTTTATCTAAAAGTTACTAACATACATTTTTATATAATTATAGGTTATTAAGAAGATGTAATATTTTAAATACTTGTGGAAAAATTTTTTCCCTTTATAGCTTGCATCTATAGCCACACAGAGAAAATTTTGTGAGGAGTATGACAAAAGTTTGTTACCAAATTTAGAATATAGTAGTGTAAATTGTGATCACTATACGAATTTAGTTTTCATTTTTGTTATGTATGCATATTTTTAGTATTTTGTTTGAGAGATTATTTATATACAAAAATATATAATTTAGCATTGTTTTAAGGCAAGTTTAATCAGTTTTAGGCATAAATACCTGTAATACTGAAACAATACAAGGAAACCTTAAAGATCAGACTAACTTCCTTATTTTACAGTTGAATCTGAGTCCAGGGAAAACTAGGGACTTACCCCTTGCACCATAACTAAGAAGTGGTAGAGTTAAGAGTTTAAACTCATTCCTTAATGTTAAGGTTTCATTTAAGAGAAAAATGACAGAATTTGTTTAACTTGTTTTTCTTTGTTTCCAGAAACTATTATCTCTGTGATAATAGTTTATTGTCTTTATATACTAAGAGTATTTTAAATTTTTCTATAGGAGAACTACGGATTTGATAAAATTGAGGTGCGAGACAATGGTAAGGGTATTAAGGCCATTGATGCACCTGTAATGGCGGTGAAGTACTATACCTCAAAAATAAATAGCCATGAAGATCTTCAAAATTTGACAACTTATGGTTTTCGTGGAGAAGCTTTGGGATCAATTTGTTGTGTAGCTGAGGTAAGGTAATTTATATTGACTGGTTTAATGATTTCATAATCACAGAATATTAGAATTAAGAGAAAATGAACCCAGATTTTGTCAGAATGTGGGATTTTTTAATGGTGGTAAAATACACAAGAATTAACCATTTTTAAGTGTATAGTGACGTTAAATACATTCATGTTGTTACGCAGCCATCACCATCATCTAGCTCCTAAAATTTTCATATTTACAAACTGTACACATGAAATAATATATTATCACCATTCTCCTGCCATCTCCCACTCCTCCTTCTCCCCATACTCCTGGTAATTATACCATCTGTCGCTTTGAATTTGACTGTTCTAGGGTACCTCTTATAAACGGAATCATAGAATATTTATCCTTTTGTCTGTGACTGACTTCTCTTAGCATAATATCTTTAAGGTTCATACGTGTTGTGACATGTATCAGAATTTCATTCCTTCCTATGCTGAATAATAATAATTCTTTATAGGTACAAGCCACATTTTGTTTACCCATTCTTCTGTTGATGGACATTTGGGTGGTTTCTACCTTTTGGCTGTTGTAAATAATGCTGCGGTGAGATGTTCCTGCTTTCACTTCTATTGCATTTTTTTGCAGGGTCATATAATAATTCTGTTTATTTTCAATGTTAATATTTGTTAGAGGAAAAAATGGTTTAGTGGCCCATTAAATAAAATTAAACATCTTAACTGTAAACACTTCTCAGTGCCTTTACTAACACACATTGTGAATTATTAAGGGTGGTAGTTTATAGTGGGTTCACTTCCCTACATCTTTCTGATGTAGGGAGTGGCACTTAGGTGGCATTCACTATTTTTCTGTTGTTATATGGAACATGCTCTGGAAATACCACTCTAATATAGTTAGATTGTGCTCTCGAGATATGAATCATCTTGGCCTAAACCGTAGTCAAAGGCAGATTAGATCCTGGAACTTTGCTTTCCTGACTACTGATTAGGTGCTTTTATTGTCTATAAACCCCAGAGTTCAGTGCCTGACCCATTCATATGTGTAATAGCAATTATAATTCGCTGCTTCTGCCCTAGACAATACAATCTAGTTTGAGGTAAAGCCCATCTAGAACCTTGATCTCTTTGTTTCTATGTATCTTAGTTGTGTTTGATCACATGACTGTACTAGTTTCTTTGTGTTGTACTGTTCCTATGTGTGTTTGGTTCTGTTTTACAGTGTGATATTATCTGTGCCAGTGAATGACAAGGCAATTATGAGGATCTCTAATTCTCTAAGTTTGCCCATTGCTTAGGCTTGTAGGCCTTGCTTGGATGAGAATGCTCAGGTACAATAAAATGGTAGGACTTTATACCATATTCTAGGAAAGTGGTGTTAACAAGAGATATTATTCCTATTTCTTCAACTGGTCAATGGACTTAGCTTAGTTTTCTCAGCAGTGTTATATTCTCCAGGTATATTGTGGTCTTCTCTTTGTCCTGTGCATAGAGTGCTGGCATACTATAGATTTTCTCCATTTTTTGTGGGTAGAAGCTCAACTAGAATTTACTTTCTGACTTTGGGGCTCTCTGATGATACCTAAATAAGAATGAAAATTTGTGGGTGGGGGAAGAGATGGAGTTTACAGTGGGAATTTTCTTTTCATTGTCTATATTTTATGTTTTTTTAATTTTTTTATATATTTTTTACATCGTTCTTCATTTTTGTATAAAGACTACTTCTCATCTTGTTTTAGTCCCCGTGAAATTAATTTTTTTTAAGATTTATTTATTTATTTATACAAGAACTGGGGCACAGGCCAGATGCGTGGGAGGGTGAGAGGATTCAACAGAGACAGAGTGGGGAACAGAACAGGCAGACTGACGAAATACACTGCTGAGGGGAGCAGCGGGCGAGACAGAAAAGGTCTGCGTGCCATGTGGGACCCTCGCCAGCCGGCTGGGATCGAACTGGTGCTGCAGAGGCTGCGGAGAGCTTCACAGTGCTGCGCTCTACCGCCTGTGCCACCAGGGGAGGCCCCCCGTGAAATTAATTTTGCTGTGTTGTGGCATAAAGGACTTGGGGCTTTTGTGTGTTAAAATTCAGATGTTTAGGCACCCACTAAAGGAGGAAAGATATGTGTTTCCTTAAGTTCACTTTTTTTAAAATCTGTATAGATTTTGGATGGAGATTTTTTTTCTCTGCTTCCCTTACTGAACACCTGGTTTATTTAAAGTTCACAGAGTTTCCAAGAAGATTTTAGGGAAAAGCAACAGGGCATTAAACAGGGAACAACTGGCATTGACCATCTTTCTCCCTAGAGACTGGGCATCTACAGCCCTTGTATCTTTAGAGTCTGTGTTAAAAATGGCATATGATTTTTTTTTTTTTTATAAATACTTTTTTTTTTTTAATTTATTTATTTATACAAGCACTGGGTACAGTCAGAAGCACGGGAGGGTGAGAGAATTCACCAGAGCCAGAGCGGGGAGCAGAGCAGGCAGAAGGACCGAAGTACACTGCTGAGGGGAGCAGCGGGCGGCAGGAGAGGTCTGCGCACCATGTGGGACCCTCCTCCTGTGGCCGGGAGCAGCCGGGGATCAAACCGGCGCTGCAGAGGCCGCGGGCAGCTTCGCAACCCAGCGCTCAGCCGCTGCGCCACTGCATGTGATTTTTAACAGGGAGCTTCTGAAGCTCTAAGTATTAATATTGTTTAAACTCTCAGTGGCTATTTTAGTAATTATATAATTTGATGGTGTAAGTATTTGATTTTTTTAGCTGTTGCCAAACTTAGAATATAGTTTTTTATCTTCGTTTTGATGGAGTATTGCTAAAATATTTATAATTTGATTTTTTTGTATATTCTATAATATGAATGTTTTAGAACTGAAATTGGTTATTATCAGTCTTGTCTGCTAGGTGGCAGCACTATACTTCATCTTTTAAAATATATTGTTCATAAGGTACGTGATTTATCCAAATCTTCAATGTAGTTAGGTTAATCGTTGTCCAGTTATCTGCATCTTGTTTCTCTATTTGATTACTTAATCTCACTTGCTAAATAAATTTATCGTTTTGGTTTTTGTTTCATTTTTTTGAGCCATTTGAATGCCTTGAGTATAAGTGCTTAAAATAATTTTGCTCTTAAAAATTGCAAAAGGAATAAAAGAAGTATCAAAGTGTCATAGTAATAAAAACCTATAATGTTTAAAAAATTATGTTAGATTTATAGACTGTCAGGTGTTTGTCTTAAAATATGAATAGCATTTTATATTTGGGAAAATCACTGAGAATTAGATGTGGATGCATACATACACACAGCACAATGATTTGTCACATATATATATACTCCAGATCAAGATGCAGATCTTTATAAGCACCCCTGCAGGTTCTCTTATGCCCCCTAACCAATCAGTACTCCTCAAAGGTAATGGCTGTTCTGACCTCTATCAATTAGTACAATTTGTTTTTCACCTTAAATCTAAATGGAATCTTACAGTATGTATTTTGGAATGGTAGATTTTGTTGCTGGTGATTCAGGTTTACTGTGCCTCAAAACCAAAGGAAATATAGAACTGGAAGGGACCCTGATAGTAGTGGATCCTGATTCACTGCCCAGAATCTCTTCTTCAGGACTGAGCACTCATTTTCCCAGCTACCAAGAATATTGGTAACTGAACCTTCCCAGCTAGTTCTACCTCTAAAGGTTGTCATTGCCCAAGTTGAAAGAGCTGCTTTTGAAAGAGCTGCTATTGAAAAGAGCTGCTTTTCCCACATCATATAGGGCAATCTGTATCCAGTGACTAGTTGATGAAGAATTGTGGAAGACCCTATCTGAATTAAGAACATCTCTGTCATGCTGTCTTTTTTCCAAAGTGCCTCCAGGGTGTGAGTGTCTTGTAATGATTGTGGCACAATCACACCTCTCTTTCTACCATATCCCCACTAGTACTCATCTTGGGATTACTCCCTAATAAACTTCCTGCTCACTAGTCTCTGTCTCATTATGCTTAATTGGCATGTTACCCTACAATGTAGGCCTTCTGTGGTTCAGTCTCCTCATATTACTGATGAGGAAACTGAGGTTCTAGGAAGCCAAATGCCAGGTCTCCTTACACTGACATCGAAACACAGTCTAATAATTAGCCAAGTGATGCTTCATTGTCTACTATTTGCAGAGCATTGTGGTAAATCAGTTACCTCAGAGGAACTGTGCACAGTGAAGTAAGTCAATGGAATATGAAAATTGTGACCTAGTTAGGGATACACTGCGTTTCCATGGCAAAGCCAAGATTAAGCTCCAGTTTTATGCCTCCCAATAGTGAGTTTTCCACAGTAGGTCATGCTGCCTTCTTATTAGCATAGTTAGAAAGGTATTTTAAAATACCTCCACATTAAAATTATAAATATATTTAGATCTGCAGTAGTAAGCTCAGTAGATAATCAAGGAGTAGTCAAGTTGAATCATATGTGGGAGAATTCTGTTTAGAATTTCATCAATACAGAAAGTAATTATGTTTATTAAGGTCAATTACATTCAAAAATATTGTTTTTTCAGTTAGACTTAATGAAAGCTTTTGGGGGAGACAAGTTCACTTTTTAAACGTAACGAATATTATTTACTCAGAATTGACATTTCATATATAGAAATTGCATATTTATTTTTAGGATTCCAGTATATTTTGAAACTTTTTGGATTGTGATTGTAGTTACATAATAAAAATGGTGATTTATTTTATCTGCTAGACTAATTGATGCAGATAACTTCAAAGTCATACAGTTGTAAACCATCCCAGTCTTAGTTGATTGATAATAAGTAATTAGGATATAGTTTTGTCACATTATAGTAAGCAGACATTCACCCAAACTCCAACTATTGAATTTATTTTTTGTAGATTACTTTAAAAATATTGATAATTTTAATTAAGAAAAAGTTAAGTAGACTTCCAGCAAAATTGACTGGAGACATTTAGAAAACATTGAATTCCATGGTCTTTATTTAAATATTTTAGAAGAATGATCAATTTTCCTAATTTGTCAGTTATAAAGTGACTTCCAGTCATAGAATTGAAAAGTACCGACATAGAACATTCTTTTTATACCTACTGATTATCCAGTTAATATTTTAAAATGGGATTATTGTTTTCCAGAATTATGTGATGACTGTATTAGTGACTAACACAAATCGACAAATAGGGTTTTCTTTAAAATCTTATCATCAAGCATAACCTCTCTTGAAAAATTTATTGTTTCTTTTAGAGCAATAATTTTGTGATATTTACCATTCTTTACTGTTAAGTTCCTGTTACTAGTCTTACAGACTGGAATGAGCTAGAGATAGAGAAAATATCGTTCATAAAATTTTCTATGAAAACTCTTTGTATAATTATTCCTATTACAAAACATTTAATAAGATTTTATGTCTTTGTTAGGTTTGATGTACATTACATTAAAAATAATCATTTTCCTTCCAAAATGAAACTCATTTAAATTTTTTAAACAGATTTTAAATGGAAACTAGATTATACCTCAATTTTTGGAGGAACAGACAGTTTTACTTTACTTTCTTAAAGTCTGACAAATGCTGAACGAGGAGTCAGAAGCCCATTTCTCATTCCCAAATGTTTGAATAATAGATTTGGCCTAAGTCATAAAACAGGTTAACTTTTCTCAGAGTCATTGTTTTAATCTATAAAGTAAGAATGATGATTTGAGGGGCAAATGATATAATACCTATTAATGTATCTTGAATATTATCCCCTACTATCCAGATGGTATTATTTTCACTCTGGACTTAATGTGAACAGTAGTAAGTAGCTGTACTACAGAGTTGATGATGTCATCATACTTGCTCATTCCTTTGTTGGCAAGCAGTATTTCATCTCAGCTTTCAAAGTTTGTATAAATTCTTCTGCATTTTGGGGACATCCTTTTAAAAATTTAATAGCCATTCTAGGTAGATTCCTTCTAATTTTCACCAAAGGTCTTTATAGCATAAGTTCCTTTTTTTTCTTTTTTTACCCTGTGAAGAATTAGAAGAGTTACCATCTTTCCTCTTTATAACCCTTATGTTTATTGATTCATCTAACCAACATTTTTAAAGTGATTACACTATTTTTGGTGTCATTCTGAACTATCAAATTTATTGTACCTAATTTTGTAATGAAATCATATGAGAACTTTAGGTTTGTTTTTGTTCTGCAACGTTAAACCTCTCTGCATTAAAGGGACCAGAATGAGAAGCGAAGTCTGTTTTGAAAATGGAAGTAGAGTCTCCCTTATTTGTGGTTCACATATTAATAATAAGGGTAAGGGGAAAACCTCTGGCATCATACTGATGGTTCTTATCTCCTCTTCCTATGTCCTTTAAAGCCATTGCGTAGAGCTTTAGTTAGAATAGGCACAGGAATTTTTGAAACAGTTGAAATATCCTGCTTTCCACATGCAAACTTTTATTAAAAGAGGAAAGCTAGGGCCAAGACTTCCCTGTTGCTTTTCTCCCACAGCGATGTTCAGGGAGAAGGTTCTGAAGTCAGAGCGCTTATATTAGTGCATAACTGTGCGCAGGCAGGCAGACATATGTTAAGCCGGAGGAGAAAGACCTATCCATCACTCAGGCAAACTACTATATTTCAGCTGAATTACAAGTACCGTTTTTCTTAGTTTTTAAATTCATATTTCTCTGCCAAAATATTCTTCCAAAAATCTGCCAATAAGCAAACAAAACCAAAACTTTAATGTAGTTATCTTAAAAGAATTTTTTAGAGGATTTGAATGAATTACCAGCCTATATCCTGTCTTTAATTTACTTTTTATCTAAAACATTGAAGAAAATCATACTTACAGAAAGTTTGGATTCTTTTCAGTAATTTTAACTTTGTTAGTACTATAATTTCTTTAAACTAAGAAATTGTACCAGGGAGTCAATTTTTAATAACTGATAGGTAGTTAGTATAACCTCTAGGGTCCTCTAAGGATTTATAAAACATTTCCTTCTAAAATAGACTTGTTTTAAAATTCTTTACATACATTTCTTTGTTTCTTCCCTTGACACCACTAGATCCATTTACTGTCACAGTTCCTCAATGTCTATAGTAAGAAGCACCAGTAATAATTTGTAATATTAAAGATGCTTCTGATAGTGGAGTTACTGCTGCACAGCTAACACATTCTGAACCTGTGCCTGGTCCAAAAAAAGGTTTCCTGTCCAGGACACAGGGTCATATGATGAAATGAACTCTTGAAATACAATTCCCTCCTCTGAGGAACACACTGTATTTCATGAATTTGTGAAACATGCATATGTATGTTATTCTTCACTGTCTTTTACAAAGAATTTCCATCTAAATAAATTTTCATCGTACCCTACACAGCCTAATTTTAAAACATTTAATGTTGGAAAGCAATATTGTGTTCTATTTTTCACTTTGACATAACTATTACATTATGACCAGTAAGATCCTATTTTACTTTTCAGCACTTCACATTATTTCTCTAGGATGGAGTATATTTACTACTCACTAATGTGTTTAAAGGATGAACAAGTTAATACCCATAAAATGCTCTGAAGTAGTTAAAGCAAAAGCCCATGTAACCTTATAAAGTATTAGCATCATCTTCATCTTATCATCACCCTCCCCTTAAAGATGATACTGTAATCATTTATTCAGGACCATCTAGCAAGCCACTGGCAGAGCTAGTACTAGAACTCAGAGTTCCAGGGCTGCCTTTGCTCAGTGACACCAACTTTAGGTCAGGTGGCTGGCTCTTTGGAGAATAGAAATAGAATTCAGTTGACCTTGGCATTTTGGAGAAGTGGTTGGTTAAATGTAGAATTGTTTTTAAAGGGACAATCATGGAATAATTAAATTAGAGACAGGAAAAAAGGTAAATCTCTAGCAATTTCTTTCCTCTTTGATTTGAACAAACAGAGGAAATCACTATTGGACACACAGTAGAGTTGAATGTAGCAGGGAAAATTAAGATTAGTTATTAGGAAAGCTTTTTAAATTACACGACTTTTGAATCATGGATTGTATTTTTGGAGGAAGTAGATCAGTCATGTAAGAGTATTCAGAGAGTCATTCATATATTTGTCTGTTTTAGATACAGATTTTTGGGGGAACTTTTATCACAGAAATAAGAGTTTGAGGCAATGCCCCTAGTAAGGATTTTGTAGACATTGCTCAGATAATAATACCATGAGCTATAGAAAACATATTTATTGTGTGGTGGCTCTGGTGTTTCCTGGCACACAATGTTCTCTAAAGCCACATTGTCTGTAGTAAATCTGCAGGTTGGGATAGCAACAGAACTATCAAAGGTAAATTCGGCTTGACCCAGAGAAGCTGTGGCAGTAGAGATGGATCTTTCTGACTTCTTTGTAAATTATATAGATTTATTTTAAGATAGTTAACTCTTGAGTCCAAGGATGGGTCATCACAGCTCACCAAAATGTGAAGAAGCTCTCCTTTCCTGAATCCTCCCTGCTTTCCTTGCCAGCATCTCCACTCTCCACCTCTGGTATTTCCTGACAGTGACATGGTTTACTGTTGATACACTCTCCTACTAATCTCATGAGGTAGGTAAAACAAAAGCTGAGGGTAAGGATTTCTCAAGAGAGTAGAGACATTCTTAAATTTACATTTCTGTGTAACATCTTAGGAAATATTTTCATGCCAAATAAAATTCTTTTTTGTACTCCCTTTTGTTAAAAATATTTTAATCAATTAAAAATTTATAATTAAATGAGTTCAAAGCACAGTGAAGAAAAAATTGCCTATAAATGTGTATGATCTGTATTTTCTTACTGTTTTGAGCCATTAACTTAAAATACAGAAGTGCAGTTTTATACAGAATATAAAATATTGAGGGAATGATCATTTTACAAAAGGATTATTCACTTTTCCAACCAGTTTATGGCAATAGTCTGTTAAAAAACAGGTTTCCCTAATACAGATAAAGTATTTCATTTTATAGGTATAGTTCATATAATACACATGGCCATTTCAGGCATGCTGATTTATGTGTGAGTGTTTTAAAATAGTTTACTCAAGATGAAGATAAGTAATTTGAAGCACAACAACATAAGCTAGTCTGTTGTTTATTAGTATAACTCTGAAGAATATTGTAAGAGAAGTAATCATAAGAAATTACCAAATAAAACTCTTATCAATCTTAAGTAAATATATGGTAATTATTTTAAATCTAATTTGATAATGAACCTTCTATAATATTTGAAGTCATGAAGTATTTTTTTCATATTCCAGGTTTTTATTACAACAAGGACGGCTGCAGATAATTTTAGCACCCAGTATGCTTTAGATGGCAGTGGCCACATAATTTCTCAAAAACCTTCACATCTTAGTCAAGGTAAGAGAGTAGCTTTGTAGTATTCTTTGCCTTTTTTATCTTAATCATTTAAAAAAAAAAATTACTGCTCCTTACATTTGAATCCTCTGTTTTAGTCTTAGTCCTGATAAAAGCTAGTTAACTTTCAAATAAACAGTCAATCTTCACATTAGCCACCAATCTCTTAAATACTTGAAGTTGTTCTCAAAGAAGAACTGTGTGAAAGACTTTGGACAACAATGTAGATTACTCTTCTATTAAGAACTGTAAGAGCAATTTTTTGGCTACTGTTAAATTACTAATGTCTTATTTAAATATGAAGGATAACATTTTATTGAAATGCCCAAAACATTACTGATTTGGCAATCATGGCAATAAACCATAATATCAAGATGTTATCATTAAATAAATAATTTTAAAATGTTTACTTGTAGAAAACTTCAGATATGCACAAGAGAATATCATTCAGTTTCAACAGCTTTCAACCCATTGAAAATACTGTTTCATTTAATACCCTCACCTACTTCCTTCTTTTCTGTGTTAGGTAAAGCAAATAAATGTATTAATTATTGTTGCTTTTGTAATTTATTTTTTAGTATTTTATACATGTGTAATTTTATTACTTTATAATTGACTCATTTAAGTTCCCCTATTTCTAAAGTTTCTTCCCTTTAGTTTTAAGGTTAAATTGCTAGATTTTTGTTTTTCAATTTAGTTGTCTTTCTTCATTGAAATGTAATTTTTTGGTATCTCAATATTGATATTAAATTCTCTCATTCTTTCATTTTATGGATCTTAAAATTACTGATTACTTTTTGTACAAAAAGAATTAATATTTTGAATTAATAGGAGCTCCTAAAAAACACACTAACACTTTTTCCTCATTAATGAAAATAAACTCAGTCTAGTACTATTTAATTTGATGTACATAATATTGTACATATTTTTTTTTTAAAGATTTATTTATTTATCTATACAAGCACTGGGTACAGTCAGAAGCACAGGAGGGTGAGGAAATTCACCAGAGCCAGAGTGGGAACAGAACAGAACAGGCAGACTGACGAAATACACTGCTGAGGGGAGCAGCGGGCGCGCCAGAAGAGATCTGTCGCTCCATGTGGGACCCTTGCTGGTGGCCGGGAATCGAACCGGCACTGCAAAGGCTGCAGGCAGCTTCGCAGCCCAGCGCTCAACAGCTGCACCACCAGGGGAGGCCCATATTGTACATATTTTAATTAAAAATAATAGATTGTGATTCTTATTTTTTTGTATGTTGAAGGTTAGGACAAATAAAAGTTGGTTTTTAATATAGTTCCTATCCAGAAATGCTTGACTTCAAATCTTTTTTTTTTTTTAATTTTATTTTTATATTCCCCATACAATTGCAACGCCCTGATTTTGACCCCAATCCCTCCTTTCCCCGCCCCTCCCCAAAGTGTGTCTCTGGTTCATAGTTGTTTGTGGATTTTGATTTTTGTCTTCTTATAGTTATTCTTTTTTCTGGTCCCTTATTTAGGTTTTCTAGATTCCTGTTATGAGTGAGACCATCCGGTATTTTTCTTTTTCTTTCTGGCTTATTTCGCTGAGTATGATCCCTTCCAGCTCCACCCATGTTGCTGCAAATTGCATGTGTTTATCTTTTTTAAATGCTGAGTAATATTCCATGGTGTATATGTACCACATCTTCTTGATCCAGTCATCTATTTTTGGGCATTTGGGTTGTTTCCAAAGCTTAGCTATCGTAAATTGTGCTGCTATAAACATAGGGGTGCAGGTGCTCTTTGGAATTAATGTTTCTGTGTCCTTTGGGTAAATACCTAGGAGTGCAATTACTGGATCATATGGAAGCTTTATCTTTAGTAGGTTGAGGAATCTCCACACAGCTTTCCATAGTGGTTGGACCAGTTTGCACTCCCACCAGCAGTGCAGAAGAGTTCCTGTCTCTCCACATCCTCACCAACATTTGTTGTTGCTAGTTTTTTTAATATGTGTCATTCTCACTAGTGTGAAATAGTATCTCATGGTAATTTTGATTTGCATTTCCCTGATTGCAAGTGACGTTGAACATTTTTTCATATGCCTGGTGGCCATTTGTATTTCCTCTTTGGAGAAGTTTCTTTTTAGCTCTTGTGCCCATTTTTTGACTGTATTATTTTCCATGTTTTTGTTGAGTCTCATCAGTTCTTTGTAGATTTTTGTGATCAGCCCTTCAACATTAGTGTTGGGTGCAAAAATTTTCTCCCAGTCCATGGGGTTTCTCTTTGTTTTCGTTATTGTCTCTTTTGCTGTGCAGAAGCTCTTTAATTTGATGTAGTCCCAGCTGTTTATCTTTGCCTTCACTATCACTTCTTTGGATGATGCGTCTGTAAAGATGTCTTTGAGGTGCGTGTCATGTAGTGTTTCGCCTATATTTCCTTCTATATATTTGATGGTTTCAGGTCTTATGTCTAGTTCTTTAATCCATTTTGAGTTGGTTTTTATGCATGGTGTGAGGTAGTAGTCAAGCTTCATTCTTTTGCATGTAGCGACCCAGTTTTCCCAGCACCATTTATTGAACAAACTTTCTTTGCTCCATTGCATATTCTTTGCCCCTCTGTCAAAGATTAGTTGACCATAGATCTGTGGGTTTATTTCTGGATTTTCATTCAGTTCCATTGGTCCATGTATCTGTTCTGGTTTCAATACCATGCAGTTCTGATTATTATGGCTTTGTAGTATAGTTTGAAATCTGGGCGAGTGATGCTTCCATTCCCTTTTTTTTTTTTACAGGAGGGTTTTGGCTATTCAGGGGTTTTGGTAGCTCCATATGAATTTCATCAGTATTTGCTCTGTTTCTTTGAAGAATGACATTGAAATTTTAATTGGAATAGCATTGAATCTGTAGATTGCTTTTGGTAGGATGGCCATTTTGATAGTGACCTCAGATCTTAAGAGCTCAAATTAGGAAACCATTAAGAGAGATTTGAGTGGCTGTTCAGTTGAGAACTTTGAAGTGATCTAGTCACCTTATAAAACTTAAACATTTATTTTCATCTTAGTAGTAGTCTACTCTGAATGGCCAAGGACTTTGCAGCACTCATACTTCTCATGTTTTTCTGTATTCATCTCCATGGGAATCATGACATAGCAATCCTTAAATGTGGAATCTTACTGATCATTGCCCATTTGCTGGTTTTTCTTTTCTTGCTGACGTAAGTCTCCTTTCAGTGAGTGATAGCATGTAGGCATATAAAGGAATTTCTACAGCAGTCAGTGCACCTTATTTTCAACAACATAGTTAGAAGGTCAGTAATTCTAAAACTAGTAATTACCTTTCATTACTCACTTTTTTCTCCTAAAAAAAGTTGATTGGTTGGTAAAACAAAAAATCAAACCATTTGTTTCAGATTGCTCTAAGGGGACATAAAAATCCACAGACACTTTCAAAAGCCCTTTACATGTAGATTGCCTTAGTGCTGATGGTTTTTCAGTGAGTGAATCACAGACTCACATTTCACTACCAGCTGTCATTCAGCTTCCATTTAAATATTTTCTATGTAAGATAAAACTACAGTTCAACCACCCTAATTAATACCTGTGCATTTAAGGTTCTTGTAGATTAATTTCTGCTGTAGTGTGAACATCCTTGCTTAGCAGTTTCTCTTTTTATCATCTGATAGTATAATACCTGTAGATAGTGTAACTATAGGTGCAGGGACAACTTAAAATTATTTTAGGCACTGGAAAATTTGTTACTCCTTTAAAACACATATTTTAAAATGTTTAAAAATAGTTTACTGGAGTTTCCATTTCTGGCTTTTATGGGTGGAGGAAAAAATCTTATGGATTAATTTAACCATTTAAAATGATAGTATGTCGTTTTAAATTACCCTTACCTTCTGTTCACTTCTATTTTAAGATATTTTAAAAATTAAGATGTAAAACTAAGTCTCCAGCTCTTAAATTCTTTTGCCAAGAACTCTGACTTAATTGTTTTAGTCATGTTTTTTTCTGTCATCACTTCTATTCCTTATATCCTCTGTAATCAGTATTAAGCCTTCTAAATTGATTTACCCTCCTAGACATATTTTTTTTAACACCTCCTACTACTCTGCCTTAGGAATTTCTCAGATATCAAAAGTAGTATATCTGAAGTACTCTAGTCAGGGTATTTTCTTTCCCTATCATGTTATTAGAGTAGAGCATCATGTTCTTTTTTCATATTGAGATTGGGACTTTATTCATTAAGTAGCTTAAGAAAGATTTGATATATTCCAGTAGCCACACCTCTTTACATTAAGAATATAAATAGCTGCCTTTATAAATGGCATAACATAGGGTCATATAAAAATATAACAAGGAGCATATTATAGGGTTACAGTTTAACTCTGGTGTTTGTAGATTGTGCTAAAGTTAGCTGAGCAGTTCTCTTGTAAAATATGATAGTATACTAGGGCCGCCTCCCTATTAGCCAAGGTTACTTGGTCTTTTTTTTTTTTTAGGATCTACATTTCATTTGGAATCAACAGAGTTTTCCATTATTAAGTTTTTTTTTAATAATAAATTTTATTTTTATATTCCCCATACAATTGCAGCCCCCCCATTCTGTCCCAATCCCTCCCCTCCCGCCCCTCACCCCCAAAAAGTGTCTCTGGTTCATAGTTTTTTGTTGATTTTGATTTTCACTTTCTTATAGTTATTCATTTTCCTGGTCCCTTATTTAAGTTTTCTAGATTCCTGCTATGAGTGAGACCATCCGGTATTTTTCTTTTTCTTTTTGGCTTATTTTGCTGAGCATGATCCCTTCCAGCGCCATCCATGTTGCTGCAAATTGCATGTGTTTATCTTTTTTGAATGCTGAGTAATATTCCATGGTATATATGTACCACATCTTCTTGATCCAGTCATCTATTTTTGGGCATTTGGGCTGTTTCCAAAGCTTAGCTATTGTAAATAGTGCTGCTATAAACATAGGGGTGCAGATGTTCTTTGGAATGGATGTTTCTGTGTCCTTTGGGTAACGACGTAGGAATGGAATTGCT